AGATAATCGCGGCTGAGAGGGGAGTAGACCGAAAAAGCGGACCTCAAATACGAAACCTATTACGAGACTAAGTCAGCAAGGCAGCATTTCGAGTCCAGAGCACCATTCTAAGAAAGGATCTTAGCGTTAAGATATTCGTATCTGCCATAGTTTAACATAGGATTGCATTGATCGTGGTGGTTAGATCGGTTTATGGAACGGAATCCTTGAAAGTACTGCTTAAAATGGAATCGAGGTCGATTGTGAACCTGAACACCATTCTAAGAAGGGATCTTAGCGTTGGCCGGGGCGCAAACCTCCAAAACCCCCGTGTGTTTCCAAATAGTCTCCCATTTGCTACTCCTCAGCAGGGAAGATGTTATCAGCCCGTGAGTGACAAGGCTGTAACGGCTATGGGTGCCTGGCAAGAGCCTGGCGATGTCAAAGGTTAACCTTGGAATTTACTACTAGAATAAATATGTGCCTCATAGTAAATGTCCAACAACCCTTTCACTTCATATTTTGATGACTAAAGAGATTAATTTGATTAGCATATATGAAACATCAAGTTTTACTTATATTCTGAATATATTCTGAAATAATGATCCGATTGTGACCATTTATAGCTCATTTTGTAGGGAAATCATCTAGCTTTCGATCCGTAGGCCTCGACAGGGCCTTAAAAATAGTTTACGTGGTGAAATTTAACTTTGATCGAGGAGGGGGTGGTTTCGTCGTTACATCCCTTTCCTTTTATATAGTACTAGGGTAAGGTCTATATACTTAAATGTCTTTCTAACGCTGTTTCTAAGCGTGACACGCCCCTGTGGTACGGACTTGATATTATACCAAACACATTGTGCGTTACGGAATGTGGCATAATGTGAATTCAACTGTTATGTATTTAAATATTGTGTGACTGAAGGGTTTCTTGCCTTTGCAAACCAGTGCTTAATGGTCCTTGGGCCCGCTTGAAGAAAATGTCAGTTACTTTCAGTTTAAACCTATGACAGTGAAGGCTGCTACATTTTGCGCACGGCACCGGCTTCACAAATCGATCGTTTCACTCGAATATCTAATTTGGAATGAGATTTAATTTGAATTCCTTTGATACCATTTTTCATTCCTTGTTCGTTCAAAGGATGCAACATTGTTAAATGTTTTATCACAGAGAAAAGTGAGTGTGTTATCGAGGGAGGTTTGACGCGGAACATTCAGTGGGTAAAAACCACAGAGGTCAAGGTTGCAGCTGATAACAGTCAAGTGGATAGGATGTCTGACCGGAGAGCGGAACGCCGGTGGTTCAAACCCCAGCTGAGTCGCACACAAAGAGTGAGTGACGAGCGAACGCCGAACCGCTAAGCCCCACCGCCACGTATCCGAAGACGTACGTTTGAAGGTGGCATCGTCTTGTCACTGTCTGGGCCAGGACATTATGGGGACAAAACAGGTCGACTGGTCGGCTAAAATGCAGTCTGACTGTGAGTGAGTGAGTGTAGTTTTACGCCGCACTCAGCAATATTCCAGCTATATGGCGGCGATCTGTAAATAATCGAGTCTGGACCAGACAATCCGGTGATCAACAGCATAGCATGAACATCGATCTGCGCAATTGGGAACCGATGACATGTGTCAACCAAGTCAGCGAGCCTGGCCGCCCGATCCCGTTAGTCGCCTCTTACGACAAGCATGGGTTACTGAAGATCAGTATTCTAACCCGGACCTTCACGGGTACGCAGTCTGACTGTGATATCCATGTTAAACTGTTGTAGGCAAGCACTATAAAACAACAGAGTGAACTCGTAAGAGTACACGCACGCACGCACGCACGCACGCACGCACGCACGCACGTTTAGTCATTCCCGTAGTGTACGTCGCCATACAAGAATCTTGAACGCAACGTTAACCTCACCTCACCTCACCTCACCTCGGAGTTGAACCAACCCTGGCTAGATGTACACTACGGAAAAGACCATTCTGCATCACTCAAAGAAGAGTAATCTTGGTTCTCATGTGGTAGTTGGTTGACAACTTAGATGAACCCAACGAACTACAATAGGATGCTACACTACGAGTCATTCACATGGACGAGACCAAGCAAGCTCTTGAACTGGAAATCCTACAGGTTTCTTCTCTAAAGTTCTCTCAGCAATATGTGATGGCGGTCAGTATCGTATCGTCCCTGCCCTAATTTCCTTGGAGACCATGGAGTAATCAAACCAGACAGGACTTCAATCGGTCCCCGCCCAGTCCAATTTCATCAAATTACTGCCTTTCTTGATTCCGGTTAGTGAGTGTGTGAAGTTTTACTCTGCTTAAAGCAGCTTTTGACAATATTCCATCGGGGGACACCAGAAATAGGCTTCACACATTGTACCCATGTGGGGAATCGAACCCTGGTCTTCGCGTCACGAGCGAACGCTCTAACCCGTGAACGTCTGGGTTAGAATATTGGCCTTCAGTAACCCATGCTTGTCGTAAGAGGCGACCAACGGGATCGGATGGTCAGGCTTGCTGACTTGGTTGACACATGTCATCGGTTCCCAATTGCGCACATCGATGCTCATGCTGTTGATCACTGGATTGTCTGGTACAGACTCGATTATTTACAGACCGCTGCCATATAGCTGGAATATTGCTGAGTGCGGCAGTCAATGAGTGAGAGAATTTAGTTTCAGCTAAATGCAGGAGGAAAGCTCGAGGTGAAGCTGGTCTACAATGTGATGTTTACCACTGTAGTAAACGCCAAGCAATAAGAAGTAATGAGGGAATTGAACCCACGATCGTTTCGGATTCGGACACGCCCAAGGGACGAAACTCTTCACAACTACTACCTCTTCACACAACCCAGTTGAATATCTACCGTAATGACACAACTCATAATATAATTATCACAGTGACACTGATAATGATAATCATACTTCAAAACGACATCGTTGATACATACTCTTTCAAAACGATGTCCGGATGAACGAGGGTCTGCACGTACAGTAATTTTGAAGGCCTGCAGTTTTGGGCTATTATTAGCAGCACTTGCAGATTGTGTGTTGAGAGACGGGATGAGTTGACGACCAAACGTGGCTAGTCCTACCGGATCAATCAACCCTTCGGCTTAGTAATTAGGATCCGATTAAGTGGAAGATTAAATGAAGCTCAAGATTTATTTCCACGTGATCGGCACAATGTCACCCACCCACGCGCCGGATAGGTCGCTGGAGACGGGGCTCATTGGCTGGTTGATGTGACATGAGGTGACGGTGGGGAAGATTGTTCGGCAGCAGGTTTTTAGAGGTCGTAGAGAATGTTTGGACACTGTGGCATCGTAGATTAAGAGTTGTAGGCTAAGATTTAAAAAAGTACTGATAGAAGATATACAAAGATGTCTTTCAGTGGCATTTAGAAGTTGTACATTGATGTCCAAGATATTTTTATGGATTAAACTTCTTTTTTAATTTTAATCACTATGTCATAGTCCTAACTGCCAGTTCACCTGATGAAGGGACCTGGAATGGTCTCGAAACGTCGTGAGAGAAATTAAAAAAGAAGTTTAATCCATAAAAATAGCTTGGACATATACAAAGATGTTCGGTAATTGCCGACTTTAACAATCAATGAATTTCATTTGTTGCGGTGAAATTCTGAATTGTCACAGTATTCGGCTTTCATGGGTGCATAATTGTAAATATGACGAGTGACGTTTAACTTATCAAATCAAAATGTTATGATAATTCAAAAAGTTATGATTATATGTTTCAAAGTGTGAGAAACTTCTATTTCACAGTGTATTGGTGATAATAAGCACTAGTATTATCTGTGTGACCGGAAGCGGAAAGTCATAAATAAATAAGGTATGGGACTGTCAAGACGTGTCTCTCATCTGTGATATGAGGAACCCTGCCCTGGCAAACACTACAGCTGCAATAATGTCGATGCGATGTAAACTTTCAACTCACTAACTCACTCTAAAAGAGCACTGATATGCATATTACTTAAATGAATCTATGTACATTTATCGGGTTCCCAGTACCTCAACATGTGTTTTTGGCCGGCCTACTGAAAGCGGAAATAAGTACACGGATTTTGGCATACTCCATGGAAGCAGGATTTGGGGATGTTTTTAGTGAGTTTGGTTTTACTCCGCTTTTAGCAATAAGCCAATATTCCACAGTATCACGGCGGGGAACACCAAAAATGGGCTTCACACATTGTACCCATGTGGGGAATCGAACCCAGGTCTTCGGCGTGACGTGAGAATGCTTTAACCACTAGGCTACCCCACACCCTTGATTGTACAATGTCGTCTGCTTGCAAGTAAACAAGGGGGGTTAACTCTTCACAAACTAATGAAAAAGGATTAACGGAGTTGTCTCTCTTGAATGAAACCAAGCACTTGATAGCTGGTCAAGGTTGTTTATACTAGAAATCCAATTAAACATATTCCTAAAATTCTCAATAATTTCTGGTCATACTATATTTTACAGTGCATGTCAGTTCTTCCACGGTAGACCGTGATAAAGGTGAGCTAAAAAAACACTACGGAAAAGTATTTGCGCTAGATTCTATTCTTTTATCATCTATAAGTATATCTCCATGTTATGTGATATTATCATTGCACATATCGCTACACAGACAGTGATACTGTCTGACTTCAGTTGGATATTAATTTAGTTTATACTATTCACATTTTGCTAATTATCAAATCATTGATTCAAAAGAAAGCTATGATGTGGGGTCTAATTTGGTTTAAATATCTAAGCTTATTGTAAGCATGGATCCTAGGTTTCAGTATGTCACTGCATCTTGTGGATCCCATACCTGCTATTGACAGGTGATGTGTACTTGTCAATGACTCGTTCCATGATTTGCAAAATGGTTGATTGGTGCCATGAAAACCATTTTTATGGTTACTCATGTATCAAGTGCATAATGTTAGATTAAAGTTTGCTGTTTGCCTAAAGAGGAGTTACCATATCATTATTTATCTAGTTTTAAATGGATACAATTTCAAATTATAAAGCTATGTTTAAGTAAAGTTGGGAACTTTCGTGATTATGAGCAAAGTGTGAGTAGTGTATATTCGTTTATTGTCATTTGGACTGTTCAGTATTTTCACAACTTTCAGCGTTAAAATAGAAATAAATTCAAATAAATTCATTTAACAAAACTACACATTTAAATTAAGAGTTACTTTACTGAGTGTTTTGAAAGTTCCACAATAAAGACACAATATAAAGCCCCAAAAATGTGTCCAGATATTAATTTAGCCAGACCGGAACTATTGTCGATTATTCGAAAAACTATGCTTACCAAAGTCGATAACTGGATAGAAATTATACCTTGTCCTAAGTAGATAATAATGTCATGTACGTAGTTATACCTATAGTCTACATAAAAGTAAAGTATAATCTTCGTAGATGTAAGTATCATTTACGTAAAAGTAAATTATAATCTTCGTAGATTTAAGCATCATTTACGTAAAAGTAAATTATAATCTTCGTAGATGTAAGCATCATTTACGTAAAAGTAAATTATAATCTTCGTAGATGTAAGCATCATTTACGTAAAGTAAATTATAATCTTCGTAGATGTAAGCATCATTTACGTAAAAGTAAAATATAATCTTCGTAGATGTAAGCATCATTTACGTAAAGTAAATTATAATCTTCGTAGATTTAAGCATCATTTACGTAAAAGTAAATTATAATCTTCGTAGATGTAAGCATCATTTACGTAAAAGTAAAGTATAATCTACGTAGATGTAAGCATCATTACGAAGATGTACGTTTAAAAAGTAAATTATAATCTTCGTAGATGTAAGCATCATTTACGTAAAAGTAAAAGTATAATCTTCGTAGATGTAAGCATCATTTACGTAAAAGTAAATTATAATCTTCGTAGATGTAAGTATCATTTACGTAAAAGTAAATTATAATCTTCGTAGATGTAAGCATCATTTACGTAAAAGTAAATTATAATCTACGTAGATGTAAGCATCATTTACGTAAAAGTAAATATAATCTTCGTAGATGTAAGCATCATTTACGTAAAAGTAAATTATAATCTTCGTAGATGTAAGCATCAATTACGTAAAAGTAAATTATAATCTTCGTAGATGTAAGCATCATTTACGTAAAAGTAAAGTTATAATCTTCGTAGATGTAAGTATCATTTACGTAAAAGTAAATTATAATCTTCGTAGATGTAAGCATCATTTACGTAAAAGTAAATTATAATCTACGTAGATGTAAGTATCATTTACGTAAGAGTTAATTATAATCTTCGTAGATGTAAGCATCATTTACGTAAATGTAAATATAATCTTCGTAGATTTAAGCATCATTTACGTAAAGTAAATTATAATCTTCGTAGATGTAAGCATCAATTACGTAAAAGTAAATTATAATCTACGTAGATGTAAGCATCATTTACGTAAGAGTAAAGTATGATCTACGTAGATGTGAAAATCACTTATGTAAAAGTAAAGTAAATCATATTCATTTACGTAAAAGAAATACTCTACGTAGATGTAAGTATCATTTACGTAGATGTAAAGTATCGTTTACGTAAAAAAGTATAATCTACGTAGATGCAAGTAATTTACCGGTACGTAAAACTAAAACATTCTACGTAAAGTAATTTACGTAGATGTAAGTATCATTTACGTAAGAGTAAAGTATGATCTACGTAGATGTAAGCATCATCTGACAATAAATCGTGTTTAGACTGGCAGACTGGCACTAAATATATGTTTCCATGTCATTCAACCCAACTGAAACTGAGAAAATAACATCTACACATGTAGTAGTAGACGTTGTATGAGTAAAGGCAGCTGCTGTTGTTGTTGTGGTTGTTGTTATCGTTGTAATCATTACAAGTCCATGTATAGAGCGCCACATCCCATTCACCCAGGTACTACAATATTTCAACCCCGGACAGTTAGTCGGTGTGCGCTTGATGTATATTCTCAGCTCCCTTGGCACTGAAAGGTTAAGTGTCAACCTACCGGGTATCCATTCGCTGCTGGTTGGACAATGTTTCGAAAAAAGCAACACGTGCTTCAGTGTTGGGGGGAGGAAACGCTAGAAACGTTTTTGGGTCACGCACCAAATACTCTCTGCGCCCAACGTTCACATTTATTTGATTTTCACCCATGTGTCAACACAAGGACAGTGTCTTAGTATAAAACGTGGCATCAGATCACTGAGTATCGTGTCATTTTGGGGGATAACGGTTCACATAACTTCTGATTGACATTTAACACATACTGATACACTGATACCAGACACGGAGGCATGAAAGCCCTTTGGCTACTGTATACCTTCATGAGACGGTGGAAGAGAAGTCGAGTTGTTATTAAAGGAAGTCATCGAGCGATCCCAAAAGGACGTAAGACTTAAAGTGACACGTGACATCACGGACATGCTCCCTTTCAGCGCGGTTGTCATAACGAGTTATGAATGTGTGGAGAGAAACAAAAATCACGCTAAAGTTTGCATTATAATATTTGGCCACGTGTTGGGATTAAGCAGCTCTTGGAATGAGTGGTCGATGGCAACCTCATATTTCGATTTCATTAATATGGTGGCGTTAAACATCAAATACCATCAACCCACGTCAGTATGTGGATCGCCCTGTCTTAAAACTCACCGTTTCTTCTCATCTTCGACATGGCTTCCATCACACCCACGGGATGTGCAGCAAGAGGTGTAGCCACGGCGAGTTGTCCCCCCTTGGTAAGTTTTGTCTTGATACCAACGTTCTGAGAGGAATCTGCGACTCGTGATGTTCTTTTGGGTCTTTCGGGGGGTGATTCCTCTTCTGTATTGCTTCTATTGCCTCGACCTGCAACGGACATGATATGTTGACGGTGTCGATTGCGGAAGATGTGTGCCCACTACGGCCAGAGTGAGTGAATTTGGTTTTACGCCGCTTAATAAGTTTGGTTTTACGCCGCTTTAAGCAATACAATATTTCAGTAATATCACGACGGGGGACACCAGAAATGAGCTTCACACATGGTACCCATGATGAGCGAACGTTTTAACTACTAGGCTACCCCACAGCCCCGTACACAAAGACGTTTAAAGATAACACCTTGTCCCTGCCTGTCGTTAGCCATTATGGGGACAAAACAAGTCGACTGGTCGGCTAGGATGCAGTCGGAGTCTGATATCCATGTTAAACTGCTGTAGGCAAATACTAGGCTCTCCTACAGCCCCGACTACCCAAAGACGTTAAAACTGACTGACTGAGTATGGTTTTACGCCGCTTTTAGCAATCTTCCAGCAATATCACGGCGGGGGACACCAGAAATGGGCTTCACACATTGTACCCATGTGGGGATTCGAACCCGGGCCTTCGGCGTGACGAGCGAACGCTTTAACCACTAGGCTATCCCACCGCCCCAAGACGTTTAAAGGTGGCATCGTCTTGTCTCTATCTGGTGCTGGACATCATGGGCACAAAACAAGTCGCACATTGTGCCCATATGGGGAATCGAACAAGCGAAGGCTTTAACCACTATGATTGGTGTATTTCGTCTGTAACTTGAAAAAGTTGTTTTTACGAGTGAAATAAGTAGTGGCTTCATCGACCAATCAGCCGGTCAGTCTATACATCACTTATGGCCAAAAAATAAGTTAGTTAAAAAGTTATTATCTTAAATAATAAACCACGGGAAATGTCTTCTTCATGAAAAGTATTGTGCTGTGGTGCCATCGCCACCACCAGCATGGCCGGTCACAGGGCTCGCACAACCGCTGAGTCTATCTTCAGAGTGAATGTAAGGTTCTGGCTTTAGAAACATGTGTCTACCTTTAGGTCTATTCTTGAGTACATTCTCTGGGAGGTGATCCAGGTATTTGATGTAGTTAGAGTTATCTACCCTCTTCTTGTAACTTTCTTCAATTTCCTGCCTCGTTCTGGGAATCCGGAAGTCGCAACAGCAGCAGACGATTGTGGCTGGAATATCAAAAAGCAAACAATGCAGACGCATAGAGAAAACAAAACTGGTTGCTAAATCTATATTCTGTGCTGTGATGTGTAGTGAGTGCGAGCATACTGAAAAGCTTTATGGGTAAGAATGTTCTAATTAAATGCGTCGAAGGCAAGATCAAAAGGTGTTGGGCTCACAGGCCCTATAACTCAAATTCAGAGCAAAAACACATGCCGAGCGTCACCCATGTGTCTGTGACATTTTTCTGTGAATATTTCGCTCATATGACGACGTGCATGCGTGTGTATGTGTATGTGCGGCTGCTTGTACTAGCCCAGACTGAAGCTGGTTTTATAGTGCTAGCTCACTGAGATACCATGCCGCAGTGAAGCATGAATACCCCACTCAGACACAGTATACTGACTCCGAGCCGACCAGTCCTTGTTGTACCCATTAATGCCGAGCGCCAGGCAGGGACCAACAAGTACCATATTTTAACGTCTTTTGGTATGACGCGGTCGGGGATCGAACCCGCGACCTTCCGCTCTCCGGGCGGACGCTCTAACCACTACACCACGGAGGCGGTCGACTACCGGTAGAACAACCAGAGTTGCACGTATGAAATTGCAATTTCACTACACATGCTTGTTGATTACCTGGCTGTTCTACCGGCAAGTGGTCCCCCCGCGTAAAAAAAAAAAACGAAAGGTGACCAGAAAATAATGATCGTTTGTTAAACAGCTTTTTTATTCGGGTGTCCAAAATTATGAGACAAATCATCAGAGTTGGTCTGTCGATTTCATGTGACTGTGCAAAATTTGGTTTTGTTGCAATTATTAGATTTTGTGTTAGTGAGCAATTCATTTGTCTCAAATGAAATCAAACGGACTGTACCACCATATAACGTCTCTTGTTATGTCACCGATCTTCCACCCTCCGGAAGCTACAGTAGTTGGCCATAAGTGAGTCATCATTACTGAAATTTCCATAGACTTACATGTTAATTAACTGTTGCAAGAATAATTTTCATAAATTGATTAGAAGTCGTTTTATTTTGATATTTTGCAAACATTTGGAAATCATCTTCAGCTACGTGTACATAACTGTCTTTCATCTTTCCGTTGATTAGTTATCGAATGACACCTGATTAAGCACCATATATAAGTACAACTTTAATCTATCCCATAGACAGCCATGTTAAACCTGATTAGTATGTCTAATATATGTTGCAGTTTTCTTAATAATCATCGGAAAATTGAATGGAAATTATGTGTATGTAGCTGAGATGATTTCCAGCTGGTAGGTAAGTATTGAAAGCAATTCAACCGAATTTAAATTTATGAAAATTATTCTTGCAAGAGTTAATTAACATGCAAGTCTGTGGGAATTTCACTAATGGTGACTCACTTATGGCCAACTACTGTATATCCACTATACCAAGGGGGGTTAGAAACACCTATACTCACTGATCATCAACAGGAATGACGCTATCGCGAACACGAGGTGCCACACACGGAGGGGCCTAACACCTTGGTTTCTATGGAAACTCCGTTGTCGCTGTTTATTTGGGCTTTGTTCACCTGCAACAGAAACAGAAATAGATACTTATTTAAGTGGCATTTAGAAGCTGGTATGAGGAAGAGGGACACTTTTTATGGATAACTTCTATATTGCAATAGATGCGACGTTTTGGTTAGCAAATAACGGTGTTAGCATCTACACAAAACGTCGTCAGCAAATAACGGTGTTAGCATCTACACAAAAACGTCGTCAGCAAATAAGGGTCATCTACACAAAAACGTCAGCAAATAACGGTGTTAGCATCTACACAAAAACGTCGTCAGCAAATAACGGTGTTAGCATCTACACAAAAACGTCGTCAGCAAATAACGGTGTTAGCATCTACACAGAAACGTCGTCAGCAAATAACGGTGTTAGCATCTACACAAAAACGTCGTCAGCAAATAACGGTGTTAACATCTACACAAAAACGTCGTCAGCAAATAACGGTGTTAGCATCTACACAGAAACGCCGTCAGCAAATAACGGTGTTAACATCTACACAAAAACGTCGTCAGCAAATGTTAACATCTGTTCAGCAAATCTGTTAGCATCTCTACAAAAAACGCCGTCGTCAGCAAATAACGGTGTTAGCATCTACACAAAAACGTCGTCAGCAAATAACGGTGTTAGCATCTACACAAAACCGTCGTCAGCAAATAACGGTGTTAGCATCTACACAAAAACGTCGTCAGCAAATAACGGTGTTAGCATCTACACAAAAACGCCGTCAGCAAATAACGGTGTTAACATCTACACAAAACGTCGTCAGCAAATAACGGTGTTAGCATCTACATCGTCGTCAGCAAATACACAAAAACGGTGTCAGCAAACAACGGTGTTAGCATCTACACAAAACGCCGTCAGCAAATAACGGTGTTAGCATCTACACAAAACGCCGTCAGCAAATAACGGTGTTAGCATCTACACAAAAACGCCGTCAGCAAATAACGGTGTTAACATCTACACAAAAACGTCGTCAGCAAATAACGGTGTTAGCATCTACACAAAAACGCCGTCAGCAAATAACGGTGTTAACATCTACACAAAACGTCGTCAGCAAATAACGGTGTTAGCATCTACACAAAAACGTCGTCAGCAAATAACGGTGTTAACATCTACACAAAAACGCCGTCAGCAAATAACGGTGTTAGCATCTACACAAAACGTCGTCAGCAAATAACGGTGTTAACATCTACACAAAAACGTCGTCAGCAAATAACGGTGTTAACATCTACACAAAAACGCCGTCAGCAAATAACGGTGTTAGCATCTACACAGAAACGCCGTCAGCAAATAACGGTGTTAACATCTACACAAAAACGTCGACAGTAAATAACGGTGTTAACATCTACACAGAAACTATGATGGTTTTATGAGGAGACAATCATGGTTTGAGAGGGTTTTCTATAAACAAGTTTCTTCCTGTGATATTTGGATAGTAGTTCTGACGGCACGGGGTGCTACGAATGATATAGGAAAATATGTAAGGTCTCTAGTTTTTTAAAAAGACTAACAAGCGTTTTATGGTTTGTTGTGTCTTTGGATCCATGAAAATGTACGTTTTGAAAAGATTTCCGCCAAATATTGTTGCTGAAATCACTGGATTGTCTGAACCAGATTTGATTTTAAAATTTCACAGATTGTGATCATTTATAAAAGCGGAGATATCGCTGTGGCGTGTGGGTGATTTTATGTCTCTTCACTGTTTTACTCTCCGGCGTTAGCACACGCGCACGAAGCCAGGGTTTCGTATACGAGTAGGTATTAGCAGAGACCATCTATTATATGGTCTCTGGTATTAGCCTACTGTCCTTTGTGGATTTACCTGGGGTTTTCCCTGAGGAGTTACGGCCCTGTAGGAAGACCAGGATCCGATAGGCATCAGTACCTTGTGTTCATGTCCGTCGGTTTTCCAGGCCAGAAATAGGTTATTTTGTTTGTTAGCGTGTTGTTTGACGCCACACTCAGCAATTTTCCTGCTTTGTGGCTGCGTATGTATGGACCAGATGGTCCAGTTTCACATAACCAGCATCGATCTACTCAATTTGAATGCGATGATCGAATCCATTAAGTTCAGGGTCCTGGCCATCTGATCCCGTTTGTTGCCTCTTAAGACAATCATGGGTTTTCTAAAACCCTCAGGTTGTCGTAAAATGCGATTGCGTATGAAGATAATAGTCCTGACGGCACGCGGAGGAATGGGGAAACGGATTAGGATTCGGATTTTTAAATATATAAATGTTTTATGATTTATGTAAAATGAGGCATTGTCGTTGTATGATAAGGGTAGCCACTAACTGATAAATCACGTTAGCTATAATAACCACCGCCCGCATCCACCCCATACACCACCACCACCACCACCACCACCACCACCACACCACACCACACCACACCACATCATATACACGAAATCCAGCCCTTCTCTTTCATTAAGCATACTATTAATCATGTTAAGGTATAAATAAATACATAAGAGAATATTTTTGTGACATGTCCTCTTCAAAAAAGAGTATATTTTGACTAATTCTCGAATAAAATATTTGCGTTGATCCGGTATTGTGTTCTATAAGTGCACCAAGATATGTTATGGATTATTCCAAAAGCAACGTAAAACATGAATCACTCACTTTTCCATTTTAATTTGACAAGTACCAGCGTGTTTGAATATCCATAAGATTTGGTCAAATTTGACCGTATCCACAAATTACTAAAATTCTAAAATATAATCTCTTTCATAAACTGGGGCTTGCTATAAAATGCGATGTCGCAGGCTATATTTAGCAAACAAATACTGAAAACTCCCAACATCGCTGGACTTACTCTATAGCAATTCCTATTCAGGTGACAGGTCACTGAGATTAGACACCCTTGACCACTCAGCATTGTTTTGCCAATTTCTTTCGTGGCAAAGCTTCACAAATTTCGTCAAAAGGTCTTGTGTTAAGTTTGTAGAGCTGAATGCGAAAGGTAGGCCATTCTAATTAGTTAATTCCCTCTTCAGTGCCCATACAAGAAATTAAAATTAAGATAATATTAATGAGGATTAAATTGTAAGTGAACGCCACCATTACTAGGAACGCTTAAACTTAAAGTTACCTGGCTGGATGTAAGTCATGTCCTATGGCCCTACAACAATCGACAACTTTATCATAGACTTTTAAGCACTCGCTTAAGCATAATTGCTATATCTCCTCCCTAACGGCTAAACGCAGTTTCAGACACTGGATACTTAATAAAGGCACGTCTTGCAGCGCCAAGAAGTCATACCATGGCACGAAGATCTCAGTCTTCTGGTACTAAAACCCATGTCGTGCTGCACTAGAGGTAGCCGTTTATATCCGAGTCACGTGTTTCATCTGCACGTGCTGCGGCAAGAGACATATGCAGATGGGTCACGTGTAACGCCTCAGGATCACCTGTATGACAATGTCATCCTGACTCGCGGTAACACCGGAAATGTAATTGCATCTTACATATATAATCCCTAGTGTATACTCAGATTTACCTACAGGCTATACCGCGAATTAGGTATTAGCTGTATCAGGTGTCATTTTGTAATTACGACTGTCAGCATTTTTTCAAGAAGGGCACATGTCGTAATTCCGAGTAAAAGGGGATCATTTATAAACCCATAGAATTTCATTCTCATTACATCCTTAGTGAAAACACCATCACAAACACTTGGCCAGCATAGGCTTAATTCAGCTGAAAATCATCTTTACGAAGTGGAATGACGTCATTAACAATGGGTGATGTCATTTTTGTTATTTGCGATGACGTCATTGACAACGGGAGATGTCATTTTTGTTATTTGCGATGACGTCATGGACAATGGGTGATGTCATTTTTGTTATTTGTATGACGTCATTGACAATGGGTGATGTCATTGTTGTTATTAGCGAAAATGCTCGGCCAGAAAGTGACATCGCCAAGCACCTGCTCGCAAACATTGAAAACAGTGGAATTATAGGGGTGTATAAGCCAGAATGAAGTCGAATATTCCCAGCAGGAATTACTGAAGATAACTGCCATGCACCTATAGGTGTACTTATGAATTAAGTAATAAATCGTAGATACCCTTTCGGACAGATTGGCACCAACTTGTTCCATTGTGAACCACTCCTCTTGTTTGTTTGTGTATTGTTAATGCCGCTTTCAGTAATATTCCAGTTATATGGCAGCGGTCTGTAAATAATCGAGTCTGGACCAGACAATCCAGTGATCAATAGAAGGAGCATCGATCTACGCAATTTGATACGATGACATGTGTCAACCAAGTCAGCGAATGAACTTAATGACAGCGCACAAACCTTTTGTGACTAAATAAACGCATAAGATACACATAATCGCAAAGTAATATACACTGATAGAGAGAATATTTTCGCAAATAGTTACTCAAAACTGACAAAGGCTATGAAACATTTCGAAAACGTGAAATAAACTGTTGGGTATTAACGGTAGCTACACCAGGTTTGGTCGATAATGCGACACTCAAATGTACAGCGTGTTGGCGAATATGACTGTACCTCGTTAAGGCCTGTTGTTGTCTGCGTCACCACTAGGTGGCAGTGAAGTAACACACACCCGATACTTCGTAACATCTTGACACTCGCCACCATATTTGCACCTTCAAAATGGCGCCCCATCCCAACGCCGTCTGGCTCCCCGTGAGAGAATATTAATTAATGTGAATGAGGTGTTGGTTGCACTGGTTAGGTAGCGACGTAGCAGGCATTTCTCGAGGGAGTGATTTTCATAGTTATTGAAAGCGTTCGATATCTGTGACAAATGATCTTCATGTAAATGGCAGCTCGCGCCACTTAAGCGAGAAGTCAGTTGTCATAGCAACGTGTAAACATATTGATCAGCGATCGGAGATTGTATCTGAATTTGATGAATCCGAAAGGATGGATTGTAAAACCGAGAAAGACGTGCTTGTGGGAAGGACGTCCACATTTAATTGTATTTTTGGCGACCAAGTAAATAAAATTCGATGGATTAATTCTCAGGTTATTTTACGGAGACCCTTGGAAAGCAAAATATTGACCTTTCTGTTTTGGTTCTATGTATGTATTATTTGGAATTAGGCTACGCAGTTATTGTATAGGGTTTTACGCCGCTTTAAGCAATACATGTATTCCAGCAATATCAAGGCGGAGGACACCAATAATGGGCTTCACATATTGTACCCGTGTGGTATATGACCAGATGGTGGCCAAAAAGTTGCGAACGCGTTATTACAAAGTATATAGGTGAATGGGTACCCTAGGCCACTCGCATAAACTGTACAGGAAGTTAGGGACCACACATTTAGTTGTACAATCAGTTTGTTTCTTACCCTACCAATTAGCTCGGGCCTATTGTGCATAACGTAGAGTTTCGTCCGTCAATCACGAGTGAAATACAAACGCTTTGTATATATTGTACAGTGTTTTCTGAGGTCACAGATTTCATGCACAAAACTGCGATCAATCAGTATATATTCAGCTGTGTTCACAAACACTGACCATTTGATGGTCTATCTGCTCCCCTGGTAGTGCAGGGGCTTGTGTATTCCGTGGGAATTACATGTTAATTTTGGGAACCAATACTAATTGTAACCACTATTGTGTATGGATTCAGGAAATACATTATTCCGTTTTTTCTGTTTGCTATAAGTGTCACTGTGGGGTGATTGAATAAAAAGAATTATGAGTTCCCAAAATTGCTTGCGACACCATTTCAAGAAAAACATGTTTTCATAAACCTATCACAATATAGTCATGTAGCATATCAAAAGGCAGCTTATGATGTATGACATAGAGATAACCACATAATATGCTTCTAATTTCAATTTGGTGACTTAAAATATGACATAATCATATAAATTATTGTCTTAATAATATTGTCTTTCCTTCATCGGTCACCAACATTGTAAGTATTGGCCTATATTAATGGAAACCATTTATTCAATTAATGTATTCTCCCATTTCATAATATATACAGTATAACCAGAAATTATTGAGAATTTAAAGATTGTAATTTTTATATTTTTTTCACTCATTACTCACATATTAAGTGTGAATATTAGCAGAACATAACTCCAGATTCAAAGACAGGTGAACAGTTAGTATTTTGTCAAGTCACCATGGGCAGCAATGCAGGCTTCAAAGTCGTGGTCCATGCTGTCCCAATATCGGACCACCTCTTCTTTCATTTCAGCAATATTTGTCAGATTTTTCTTATTGACACTTTCCTTCATAAGTCCCCAAACATTTTCTATTGGATTTAGGTCAGGGCTATAGCTTGGCCAATCTAATAATGTCATATTTTGGGTCTGAAACCAGGCCTGTGAATGCTTTGAACGCTGTTTTGGGTCGTTGTCCTGCTGCAAAAACCAAACATTTCAATAGAACACGTGAGCAGATGGAAGTAAATGTCCCTCGAGAATATCTGTGTACCGCTCACTGTTCATATTCCCTTCAAATACACAGAGGGCGTTGCCCCTAGCACAGATCTATATGCCACCCCACACGTTAAATTTCGGACTGTACTTTGGGCGCTGATACAAAGGTTTTTCAGTTTGTTTGGTCCAGAATTTCAATGTATTAGGAAACAGCCACACAGAACTTTCATCTGAGAAAATCACATTGTCCCAGTTAAAATTTCTATGCTGTAAGCACCAGTTCAACCTTCTCCACTTTTGTTCAGGTTTCATGATCGGTGATGGAATTCCTCGACGTTTCTGCCAACCCATTGCATGCAGCTCAGTTCTAATTGTCTCCTTACAGACAGCCACAGTTCCTCTATCAATCATATCCAGCCTTAAGTTTTCTAAACTCCTTCCTTTGTTTTTAGAAACAAGAATACCAAGCCGCCTCCTGTCACCGACAGTCAATTTTCTGGGCCTACCTGCGCCTCCCTGGGGCTCAATGCCATATCCATTTGCAATATTTTTCAAAACACGATAAACAGTGGACAAAGGGATGCCTGTTCTACTTGAAATCACTTAAGCTGATCTGATGTCCTTGTTATAATACTCTAAAATCAACTTCCTCTTCTCTAAATCATCCATACTGAGGATCACTGAAAATGTTGTCTGCTAGCAAGTAAACAAAGGGGGATAACTCTTCACAAACTAATGAAAAAGGATTAACGGAGTTGTCTCTCTTGAATGAAACCAAGCACTTGATAGCTGGTCAAGGTTGTTTATACTAGAAATCCAATTAAACATATTCCTAAAATTCTCAATAATTTCTGGTCATACTATATTACATGCCTATGTTGTGATAGGTTTATAAAAATATGTTTTTCTCACATTGGTATGCAAACATGATTAATGGGTACTGATGGTTAATCATCAGAAAAAATGGAACCATGGTTTTCTGAATCCATATGCAATACTGATTACAATTATCAGTGGTTCCAAAAATTAACATGCACTTCCCACAGAAAGCATTTTTGCTACATAAGCCCCTGCACTACAGATGAAAATACTATTTCCTCACTTTTAACTAAACCAGTTTTCTGTCCAGGCAGCATGTTCTGAAGCTGAGAATATGTTCTCAGTCGTGGAACTTGTTTGGCTCTCTGTAGGATAAACTGAATGTCACCCTGATCAAAGATATAGCAGCCAAGCAAACTATTTCTGTTCACAAAAGACTTCTACTTACAAACAACTTCTACTGACAAGCGACTTCCTGTTAAAATGACTTCTACTTACCAAGGACATCACTTAAATTTAATATAACTAGTATGCAAATGTCTACACCATAAAAGTGAAGTGTGTTTTAGCCGAGGTAATCTGTCTGTTCTCCCTGGTTAAACAGAACTCCCTCACTCAAACCTTCTGGCCCCAGTTTCTCGAAACAAACTTAAGTCTGAGTTTTGACTAGAGTTTTGACTCAAATCTGAGAAAACACAGAAAATGCATTTTCCAGAATGAACTGAAATCGATATCAAACTCAAACATGGTAGACAATTTGAGTTTGTGGATAGATTGTTGTTTGGGCTTTCTTATTTTAAAAATGCAGTTGAGTTAAAAATTCAGCTGTTTCAAATTGTCAAACTCAGTTTGAAATTTGAGTCAAAACTTAAGTTTGTTTCAAGAAATCGGGCCCTGATGTCTCCGTCATGGCAGAAGATTAGCTGCAAACGGCCGTCAAACTCATCTCGCTTCTGGTAAATTGACATTTGTAGCATTATCCAACACCCGACATCACATCACCATTGCATCACATCACCATTGCGCACAATGAATTGAAGCTAACGCTTTCAATCACTGGATTGTCTGGACCACTGCTGATATGGCTGCACTGTTGTTAAATGGGGAGGTAATATAGAAACAAACAATCCCCAATCTAAATGTGAATGTGGACTATGTCTTCGTTATCAATATTGTGAAGACAGATCGTCTCACAGAGTCACCAGCACTTCACAAACGAGTTTCCTCGCATTTTTCTGCCATTTTCACTCACAACTTGCACAGAGTGTGGGAAGCAAACGTAAAATACTCCCATTGATGTCAGTTTAACAAACTAGACAAACTGATGTCCGTACCTGTCTTGTGTGTTTGCCTGTTGTTTAATTGCTGTAAATAATCGAGTTTTGACCAGGCATTCCAGTGATCAACAGCATGAGCATCGATTTTTGCAATTCGGATACGTCGCAACCTGTCATGAACAAGACTCGCAATGTGACACAAATTAATCAAAACCATCTTTATTTAGATGCAGAAATACCCAACAATTTTATACATGCATTGGTCACTTCATTCTTGCATTATTGTGCCAATTATTTACATGAATACGACATGGTATAAAATAACAAAGTACAAGTAATCAACATCACTAATATCTAATCACGGGGATGTGGTTAAACAATGAACTAAGGTGTAAATATTCTAAGAGGTGCGTAGGTAAGACAGCATTGCTGATGAGCACAATATCCTTGTTAAACAATGTCACTTTGGCAATATCTTTGTATCTTTGGTGTAAAAGAGTGTTGGCAACAATAAATTAACTATGTTTTCTGAATTAACCCAGCCCCTTGCTCCAAAACATGCTGATTTTATTAAATGACAATGCACAAGTTTCATCATTCAAGTACCTCCTCTGAATGAAAAATAGATAGTGAGCTTGAGTATTTGGGAGGATAAAATTGTCTGCTCACTCTTCTCAAAAAAACTATCTATGGTGACAAAGTTGTTCAGTGTGTGTGCCCCTTTGTTAATAATGAATGAACCTTAAATCTAGAATTATACAATAATAAATAAAACAAAATAAATAAAACACAAGGAACATCGCCTAAATTCAAATTCTCTTGTATATACAAGCGGTATTCTTGTGACCTGCGAACACTTTGTAAAATACTGTCAAAAATTCCTGTCTGTGAAAACAAACAATATTTATATTTAAAATAAGACAGAAAACACCTGTGTCCTCAAAGTCTACAGAATAAATAATCAATTTGTTGTTGCCTCAGCTACACAACCAAAGTATTTTACACAGCAGAACCTCGCAGACTTCGACATGAGCAACTCAGTATATCGCCTACTGTAGCTTCAAGGGAATAGTTACATTTAAAGCTAAGTGTAATGTTAATCAGATACTTAACACCATTACAGTAGTCCCTGAGTAAACACTGACTCATTGGAAGAAGCACAGGTGAACTTTCTAATCAGCCAATCAGATACAAGGATTCTGAATTATCATTAAAAGAAATCATTCATGCCAGCTTATCTGTGACCCAAAGACGAATATGAATGGGCAGTTCTGAAAGGAAACTATTAAAGGGGAGCTACTATCTGATTGCATTGTTGGACATATTATGACTGACTGACTGAGTTTGGTTTTACGCCGCTTTTAGCAATATTCCAGCAACATCACTGCGGGGGACACCAGAAATGGGCTTCACACATTGTACCCATGTGGGGATTCGAACCTGGGTCTTCGGCGTGACAAGCCAACACTTTAACTATTAGGCTACCCCACGGCCCCCGGCATGTTTTTTTACAGCTCCTTGTTATCTATTCCTAAGAAGTTGCACCCAAAAAATACTATCAAGGATATATTTGTGTCTGTATCGTTATTTTTTGTGAAAAAGGAAATTTCTTAATCTTAATCTTCTGGTAAGAGACAAAGAGATACAGCTAAATATCTTTAAAAGCTGACATCTGATTTGCTAAAAAACCAATCATCCTTCATCTAGACTTTGACATCTTAGTGTAATGGAGTAAAATATCTGATCTTAATTACATAGAACCACACACAAACTGGTTGTCCTTTGGCATAAACCCCATCCCAACATTAAACATCTCTAAACCCAGGAGAGTAAGTCAATATACTTCATGGTCCCTACACGTGTAGTTGGAGGTATCGCTGCATGACCACGAACACAATAAACTTGTCTACAGGAAGTACAATGAAAATCACATGATTATGACACGTTCAACATCAAAACAGCTTCCTCAAACAGACATTGTACCCCTGAGTTTCTTTGAGGCAACATTTATCCATTATGCCTCATTTGTAATTGGTCATGTTTATGATAAAGTTTACAAAATTAGCCAGAGGATTTTTCTATGTATTTATTGAAAGATTCTTTGGTACAAAACTCCTGGTTTGTAGATGGGAAAAAAATAATAAAAACAAATTTCAGATCATACCCTGAAGTGCTTATTTAGGTGAAAGATAAAACAAGTGGTATTTATATACCCCAAAAGAAATTTAATTAATCATATAAGTATGAAAGAATCAGTAGTATGTGTTGTAAAATACAAGGAAAATAGTGTTAAATGTCAAGTAATAATTAAAACTGTTTTCAAAAAATAGTACTTGAGCTATGTAGACCATTTAAAACAAGTATTTATACATCGAGGAAAAACATTCACACCAATGTCAACTGCTCCAAACATCAAGTCACAAAACACAGAGATACAGTTTGCAATATAATGATATAAAACAAAATCACTGTATCTGACCCAAAAACACCTTAATATCCAAACTCATACTGACTTAGGAAGCAACCATGTTATTTTGGAGGGGAGGAGTGCTGGAACTTTGCATAGACACGAGATAATGTTTCTGCAAAACTAAATTTTTTTAGTAAAATCTTTTAGACTAAATATTTCATTTTAGAAACATTTTGCAAAATTTTCTTTTTTCAGATGGCAATTTTTTTTTTCAACAGATTGATGCATATTTTACTATTTTTTCTGGAACAATCTATTTTTTCATGATAACGTCTCCAGCCCCTAACCAGAATTTAAAACTGTCTGTCCTTGACACATGCATGGACCATGTCCAGGTTCCTGGCTTTAATGGTGCACAAAGCGGGGTCTCTGGGTAGGTGGGGGCGCCACTATATATATACGTTACTCAACGATTGATAGGGATATTCAGGTGGGGTGGGAGTGTGACTGATTTTCAGATATGTTGTCATACAAAAAGCATTCTATACCATGGAACTGAGGAATTCAATAAGTTCTGGTCAAGTTATGACACAGTACGAAATATCCTAGTATCCCTATCAAGTTTTGAGTAGTATATTACAAATACTGATAGCTGGATAACTGAGACATAAGATAGTTCTATACCGAATATTTCTTATTTGCATGGAAACAGGATGCTTCCTTCATCTGTCTTTTCCACATCGGACTTGACAATGTAAATATCGACCTACTAAAGACAACAGTATTATAGTCTGATACTGATAAAAGCTAACTAAAACAATAAAAAGTTAATTAAATACAGGCACTCCACAGCACTACTAGATAAATAACAGGCAAACAAACTCATTAAAATTAAAGGTACTAGCACTGTCATCCTTATTACCATGCTGTATAAGGTGTTCATTTCTAAGATAGATTCAAACTTAAAAATCAAAGTTCTAAGCCAATTAAAAATGTACTTTGGAATTTTTCGACTTGAAAATGATTTCAAAATTGCATAAGATGTTTGAGGATGTTTGAATACAATGAAAATGGAGGGAAACACATAAAAACAGTGTGAATCAATTCCTGTAATTAAACGTAAATAACAAATGATATGCATTCAAATATTTCCTTACATCTGTATGTTAAACCTGAGATCACGATTTTCAACCCAGAAAATATTGAAGAATAATGACAATTATTATGGATATACAACTTCTTTTTTTTTTTTTTTTGACACAACGACATTAGAACCTTCGTCGAAACGTCACCTCCACAGAATAAAAGAAGTTGTATATCCATAATAATTGTCATTATTCTTCATCAACTCGACTTCTAAAATGCCCATCAAAGAAGCCAGAAAATATTACTCATAGGAATGATAAGTTTAAACAGGAGTGACATTGTTGGTCAGCAACAGGTGAGTACCATATTTGATCCTACCATGTGTCCATTAACATAGCACAAACCGTTGACCTGGTGCCCTATGACGGTCAGTCTAGTGGAGACTTGGAGTCTGTTCAATGCTGGCACTGGGGTAAGCTTACCAAATCCCAAATTCTATTTGTGCAAAGGGTACACTTACAGATAATGACCGTTATTACATGAAGCATATCATTACATTGTGTAAGTTAATGTGATAAGGATCATTCATATTATCATCTAATGGATTCAGCCTCTGTTAGTGGCCCGGTCATCTAACAGTGGCCCGGTCATCTAACAGTGGCCCGGTCATCTAACAGTGATCTAACAGTGGCCCGGTCATCTAACAGTGGCCCGGTCATCTAACAGTGGCCCGGTCATCTAACAGTTTCCCGGTCATCTAACAGAGGCCCGGTCATCTAACAGAAGCCCGGTCATCTAACAGAGGCCCAGTCATCTAACAGAGGCCCAGTCTTCTAACAGAGGCCTGGCTTCTGTTCCTTTAGCAGGGATGGCAATTTTCCACTGATTTGCAGACTTCCACCAATTATATTTCAAATTGATCAATTCTGTGAATCGTCTAAATCCATTGAATCCACCTGAACCCCATTCAATGCCACAATATTATCGGTAAGTTTTCAGCTGAAAATAAATTTTCCTGTTGCCATCTCTGTTTTCGGACAGAGCAAAAGGCCTAGATTTTCGAAGCTCTCTCAGCGCTAAGATAGTCGTAAGTTACTGTTAATGTATGGCACTTACAACTATCTCAGCGCTATGAGAGCTTCAAAAATCTAGGCCCTGGGCCTCCTTTCACAAAGCACTAAGGTGATCATAAGTCACTAAGGTAACCTTAGTGCAATGTTAAAGAATGGGAGTTAAGGTTAACCTTAGTAAAGGTTGCTTTGTAAAAGGAGCCCCAGGCATCTATGGGAGGCTGGAATGTACTGGAGATTTCATAGATAAGTATATGTATAATATCTTGAGGGGACACACACTGTATCCATCTGAGGGATCGAGCCCAGGTCTTCAGCGTGACAAGCAAAAGCTTTAACTACTAGGCTACCCCACCACCCCAGGCATGTATTGGGACCCAACATCTACTGAAGGAAATACTGTATGTAATACTTGTGACATCTGATGTTGCAGTGAAGGCACATATCAAGGGCATACATTCAAAGACAGACAACTATTAACTGAAAATTAGTGTGTCCTTTTTAGATGGCTACTTAATATTTGTAAAGAAATAACAAACCTCGCACCATAACATCCTCTCCCTTAACCTCGACTAAAAATCTATTTACAAGGAAGACAGCAATGATTCTGACAAGCAAATAATCTATTTGCATGATTCAAAAATCTGAATAAGTTATATCTGAAAAGATCTAAAAGTATAATAAAGTTGTGTTCTAACCTTCCAAGTAACAACCCCCTAACCCCCACACCCTGCCCTCCCAACCCTGCTCCCTACCCTGTCACCCAGGAGCTTATAAAAAGTTAAAGCTTAATGCATCCCATGGCAGCTAAACTTTCAAGACAGCAGAGGGAAAAGGTGTTCCCTAGTCAACCAAGAAGTAGATTTTGAATCTTTTCTGTGCACTTGAGTGAGTGAGTGACTGAGTTTAGTTTTACGCCACCTTTAGCAATATTCCAGCAACATCACGGCGGGGGATACCAGAAATGGGCTTCACACATTGTGCCCATGTGAGGAATCGAACCCGGGTCTTCGGCGTGACGAGCGAACGCTTTAACCACTAGGCTACCCCACCGCCCCTCTGTGCCCTTGATATCATCAACATTATAAAATAATGTTTCATAGAGATATTCCTGTAATTCTTGATGAACCGATCACTCCTATGAACAATTCAGCACCATGCATAATGTTTTTCACAATTTCACATCTTGATAAAATAACTACCTAAAACTTTGACCAACTATAATGAACAATCTAGTACACGTTCATCAGGCCTACTCCTGACATTTATACTCCTTGTACGCTGTGAGGCAGGGACTGGTGGCTCTTGTTCCACAAAGTGCTCCAATTATCGTAAGGCATCATGGGACTAAAGCTAATGGTAGTTACATGTGGAGACACCTGGTGTCCCCTACAATCGGGCGGATGTGGCACGGTGGTCCAGCAATGCTTGCATGTCCCGGAGAGTCTGGTGGAAATCCTGGGTGAATTCCTTAGCACTAGTTTCCTCGTCCTCTACCCAGGAGGACATGAAAGTGCCGATTCTGCAAAAATGAGTGAGTGAGTTGAATTTTACAACACTTTTAGCAACATTCCTACAATATCATGTAAGGGGCACCAGATATGATATACTGATATACTGTTTGAACCAGGGTCCGCTTGCAGCAGCAGTCTGCAAATAATCGATTCTGGACCAGACAATCGAGTGATAAACAGCATGAGCATCGATCTACACTGTGAGTCACCTGTTACAACAAGCATTGGTCACCGAAGACTGTATGGGTAAGGGACCATTCATAATTAACGGCTTAGGAGGGTTATGATGATGATGATGATGTTTATGGAGTATGTACAATGTGAATGCCCCTTCCCCACCCCTAAAATTTATGTACAAAGTAAATTCTCCACCCCCGCATGTCATGTACAAAATAAATGACTGACTGAGTTTTGGTTTTACGCCGCTTTAAGCAATATTCCAGCAACATCACGGTGGGGGACACCAGAAATGGGCTTCACACATTGTACCCATGTGGGGATTCGAATCCGGTTCCACAGCGTGACGAGCCAACGCTGTAACAACTAGGCTACCCCACCTCCCACAAAATCAATGACAATACCCCAAGTACATGTGTACAAAATTGATGACCCCCTTACTTCCCCAGAACAAAATGGGTTCCACCCACCCGTCTTAAAATCATCATCACCCCCACTAGTCGTAAATTATAAATGGTCCCTAGAATGTAAGCAGAATGTAAACCACCTGGTGCATGAACCAGTGATGTACTCACTCATTGGAAGCCATCCTATAGAAGCAGCCGTACCCATTCCTGCACATGGGGGACACTCCACCATACACAGTGGTGTAGCCGATACTGCTTGTCGACAACACATAATTACCTCCGCCACCACTGAAAATTTGAAACATTAAATTTACATTTTTAATACTTAAAATGAGGTTGCTGTTAAGGGGGTCGCCTCATACTCACATTGGAAGATCTCACACCCAGCAGCCAGTGATGCTGTTTGACAATACATTATATCCTTTCATAATCCTTGATCCAACCCAAATTGTGACTACCCTATCCTGATGATGAGAGGAGCTAATACGAGAGACAGAATTTATCGCCTAGACATTTGATCTGTCATAAATTCTGGTTGTCTAGTTGATAAAGAATAAAATATTAAGGATTTTGATAGGATGCATGTCCTTTTGTAAAGTTGTTGTACAGTATATAACCGTAGATAAGCCGAATTTTGAGGGGGAAAAAAGCAGTCTCTAGAAGGGGATCGGCTTATCTATGAGATATAATTTCTTGAAAGTATTTTTCAGGTCGTCAGTGCCCTGTCAGGACGATCTTACAGGTTAGTGGTACAGCAGTGGAAGTTTACGACGATTACAGCCACTTTCTTATACATGATAAATAAAATACATATTAAAGTATACATTTTGTTGTTATTTCAAAATATTTTGCCCTTAGACATTATTAAGTTTTGTACCTACCTATTTACACACAATCAATCCACAAACAAGAAGTTATAATCCTGTCCGGTCGCCATTTGCAAAATACATATTAAAGTATACATTTTGTTGTTATTTCATTATTTTGATGATGAAGGAACTGTAACTGATGTTGTCTATTGGAAAGTGGACATGGTGGGCATTGACACCCTATGATACATATATCGTCCCTGTCACTGCTTCTTAATACCAATGCAAATGATTGACGGACATAAGAGCTCCAATAAATGACAACTTTGAGCAGCAAAGATCTGCAGTTCATCAGATTTATGATGAAATAATAATGGCGGCCATGTCTAAAAAACACCCTAGACCTTGTAGTTTTTGAAGAGATGTTGAAAATGTAGTAACACTAGAAACATTAGGGTATGTATTCATACCTATAGAAAAAACAGAGCATGTATCATATGTTATTGAACTTTCAACATACTTCTGTACATCACATTCCATGATGATACATCAAGACATGGCTGAGTTATGGACAAGCATGACATTTTCAAGATGGCTGCTGGGCGGGCCATGTTAATGTTTGGGTAAGAAGTCATAGAGCAAAAGACAAGAGTCACTACAGCTGAAGTCATTCCTGCAACCAGGGATAATCTACAACAGGGATAGGTCACTCGCTGGCTTTCTTTACCATTTGTACTAATTAGCATGTGCCTCGTCATGCTCCAATGCACACAGTGACTTGGTTCGTTCCCAGCGCAACATCGGCTGCGTTTAACAGTACTTCAGCCAGTTTATTGTATCAGTCAGAATTTTACAATGAATGAAGGAATGAAGGAATGAATTATAGCAAGAATTAAGAGCAAGAATTATATGTGAATGAATGAAAGAAATAAAGAAAAAGAACAAAAGAAGGAAATACATATGTGAATGAATGAAAGAATAAATGATACACCATGGCCATCCCTCCCCAAACATGTTAAAGAACCCAAAACTATCGCTAGAACACATGTGTTAACATCAGCTGTCCATTTTTAAAAAATCTACTTTGAGACATTTTTTACATTAGTAATTAATTCAGACATCATTTTGCATGTGTGGAATGGCATGGACACTGACAGAATGTTAACTGACACTGTCACACACCCCTCAAGAACAGAAAGTTTAGAACTGTCACAAAGCGTTGTAAACACCTTCCCAATTTTGTCAAGAAAGAAAGAAGTTTTAGAACTATAACACTCAAGCATCACAAGCATCAATGTCGGATCAGAACAGATCGGCGATATGTCATATTTTTCACACACATCAAATACATCCTAACAATCTTTTTTAAATTATAAAACTATCACTATTACTTGCAAACACCTTTCACCTGATGGTATATTCCCCTCAGTTAAATTAAAGGTGTATGTGAAAGACGTTTTTAGAACAATAACTAGAAACACTCAAACAACGCCCTGTAGTATTTCAATGGCAGATCAGAACAGATCGGCGATATGTCATATTTTTCACACACCTCAAATACACCCTAACAAAAAATTTTAAGTATTAAAACTATCACTATTACTTGCAAACACCTTTCAACTAAAGGTATATTTCCCTTCTAAAAATTAAACGAATATGTGAAAGAAGTTTTTAGCAATACAATTTAGTCTTTCTTCGCTGTGTACCGAGAATTGAAGCCAGTAAGCTACAACATGCCGACTTGAAACTTTACTATAAATCTACTTTACTAATACTGACACTAATAACAATTATTTGACTTAAAATGAAGTGACAGAATAGGTAACTTATCTTCTACATATAGGTTTTCAGTTGTCACAACACTCAGCGAATGTAATCAGCTGTTGAAAATAAACCGGGCTAAATCTTAAAAACTAAGCTGCTGCCATATTGGCTACACTGGTCACGTGACTAGACGAGGCATACGCTAAGGGGCTTTTCAAGAGTGACCACTCCCCGTTATATGGTCTCCCTGCTGCAACCCACATTAGACATCATCACCATCTGCACCATGGGCCTTTGTTTCAGATGTAAAAAATGCAAAAATTGAAGATGAACAGACTATTAACAACGTTTAAAAAGTATACCTCTTAAAAAAGTAGCGTCAGTGAAGATGTCGGGCATGGGCAGCCCCTCCTCCTTTGCCGTCATGTAGAGGCCAAACAGATGGCGGTCACAGCCATTCATTTCCTGGGACTCACCCATCAGCTGCTGGTGTCTGGACACGGCTCGCAGAAACAGCTGGATACGCTTCTGGGACTGTAATCATGGCAACAGTAGAGTGTTGATTTACACTGCAGTCATCAATATTTCATGTCAGCCTGTGAATAATCAAATCTGGGCTTTAGATAGGGCTGCGCAATATAACCGGTTTACTGGTATTAACCGGTTCAGACATGAAAACGATACGTATTGCGATACGCTGATAGAAAACTGGTATTTTGACTTGTATTCGGAAAACTTCGTAACACTCGGAAACCTTGATGATTGTGGCAATTGTGGTAATGGTGGTGGGAATGATCGTGGTGAAAATTACATTTAAATATTATCTATATTCTTATTCTGTCATGATAAAAAGTTTTTATTAAAGCTTAATGAAAGCATAGTGATTTTGTTGTGTTTTTGCTTTATAAATAAAGCGTTAACTTGATCATTAGTAGTTTATTGTTAAAAAAACTTCTTGCAATATATTGCAATACATATCGCAATATAAGCTTTCGCATCGCAAAATATCGCAATATGAAAATTCTCTGCAATACCCACCCCTAGCTTTAGATGAAGGTGTGATGACGTGAAATGGAGTTAACGTCATATCTCATATTATTGCACGATATTCTCAGTCTCCAGGCAGACTCTCTATCCACTGCACCAAGGGGGGGATCTCAACCTGACTGTTTTACAACATACAGTGTCGGTGTTGCACAACATGACATGCTGGTGACACACTAAATGATGCTGCTGTTTCCCGTTGATACTCACGCTGACTCGAGGATCCACCATGGATTTACACCAGTCTATCGCCTCAACAGTGCAAGACCTCATCGTCTCGGTACGAGCATGGTAGAACCGACGAGTTGTTGCCGTCTCATACATCGGGGCAGGTCTGGGGAATAAACGTTTCAAAAGTCAACAAAGCAATGAAATACACAAAGATTATAACATGACCTTGTATGTATGTGTGTCACACTGATATGACAAAACAGTAAAATTGTGTGGAAAGACAACCCCACATCAATAATGATAGGATTTAGACTTAAATCTCTGAAACATATTAATTCCAACTGAAGTATTCACGTAGGTCATTCCAACATCTAAACAACAGAACACTGTCATGCTGGTTCGGTAATGAGGAATGTCCACATTACAGTTACAGGTGTATTTCGGTGATTCCAGGGAATGATGTAAGACCTGGGACACTTACTTCCCGTACTTCCTGTAGTAGGTGAGTTGCAGCGCCATCTGTACGTGAGCATCAGGGTGAACTTTGACCGACTTCAAGTATTCTTTACCGTAGTCTGTAAACAGGGCTGTCTGAACCTCCACAGTGGCACACTAGCAGGAACAGAGTGAGTGAGTGAGTGAGTGAGTGAGTGAGTGAGTGAGTGAGTGAGTGAGTGAGTGAGTGAGTGAGTGAGTGAGTGAGTATGTGGGTGGGTGGGTGAGTGAGTGAGTGAGTGAGTGAGTGAGTGAGTGAGTGAGTGAGTGAGTGAGTGAGTGAGTGAGTGAGTGGGGTGGGTGGGTGAGTGAGTGAGTGAGTGAGTGAGTGAGTGGTGAGTGAGTGAGTGAGTGAGTGAGTGAGTGAGTGAGTGAGTGTGTGAGTGAGTGAGTGGTGAGGTGAGTGGGTGAGTGAGTGAGTGAGTGAGTGAGTGAGTGAGTGAGAATTCACTCAGAATTCCAAGTTAATGCCAATAAGGTACTCTTTTCAAAAGATGTGTAAGTGAGCGAGCATGCCTCAGCCTGAACTTTCTCATAACTTTCCCAAAAACCTTGAACAGGACTCAAGCAGAGGAACAACATGCTATCACTTTAGAAAAGACATAATACCACAGTATCATTACTTGTGATAAACAGATTCCCTAAAACATTCTTTGAGTGGCATTTTAAACATTGGGAAATGAAATATTGATAAATTTTACAACTTCGTTATTTGTGAATGCCCTATTCTTGTAAATTATCTTTGGTCGTACAAGCAGATTAAAACCCAACAAAGTCTTTTAATGATGCACGTAACCATGGTAATTCGTTTCTCAAGATCCTCTAACTTATTATATACCTACCAGTTCTTTAAATGCGTCTCTGGTGCTCTTGATCTTCTGCTGGAGGACATCATCAAGGTCAAAAGTGAGTTCTTCAGCGGGAGGAAACGGTCTCACAGCCGTGCTGCCCTGTAATGTACAATTCACAGCACCATACCATCAAGAGCACTAACACACTCGGTACATGTATAAACTCTAAAGATATCCTACAACAAAATAATGCTGAGTACAGTCAGGGCTTTAATGGATGCAAGAAATTGCACCATATACCTTACACATAGTCAATACAGTCCAATATAATGTGAGAAAGCATGTATGGATATTGAATAGGGGTGGGTATTGCAGAAAATTTTCATATTGCGATATATTGCGATGTGGAAGCATATATTGCGATATGTATTGCAATATATTGCAAGGATTTCTTTTTTTTAACAAAAACTACTTATAATCGAGTTAATGCTTGATTATAAAGCAAAAACACAACAAAATCACTATGATTGATTAACCTTTTATAAAAACTTTTAATCATGACAAAATAAAAATGTAAGTAACATTTGGCACTAATGAAACAGGGAAAAGAACAATTCAACAAATGGAAATATCCGAAGATTTCCGAGTGTTACAAAGTTTTCCGAATGCATGTCAAAATACCGGTTTTCGATCAGCGTATCGCAATACGTAAATACCGGTAAACCGGTTATATTGCGCAGCCCTAATTTTGAAGTACAATATTCCAGCAATATCATAACGGGGGTCACCAGAAAGAGATTGACACACTAGAATTATACTTTTCCCTTCTTTTATACTACTTTCACCAATTTCATGAAGATCTTCAGGTCCCTGCTGTTGTAAAAAAAAATTGTTCCTCCAATGTTTCTGGGGTCGATTATCCACCTCTGACAAAGCTATGATATATCTCTGACATAATAGGCAAAATCTATTTTTTTCAATATCTCATTTTGACAATCACCAGTGTTTCAAAGAATGGATTCCCACTAGACATCAATATCACATGGATTGCTAAAATGAGGTCAGGGTGTACTTGATAAAGCAATGACACTGGGTGACTGACATAGTTTTATACAGAAACCACCAGAGAGGCCAGAGTCCGTACCCCACACATCACACCAGGCAGATAGCAGCACTAGGTCAAGGTCGCTCAGGTGCCAGTCCACTATCTAGGGCTGAATGTCAACAATTCAAGTGCTAACCGTAAATTTGTCAATTGCCTGGATCAATTTCACGTCGTCTCAAATACTTTCATTGTCAATATTCCAAAAGGCAGAATAAAACAATATAATCACAACCTGAAGATATTTTAGTTCAAAATGTTAAATGTAAGTTGATGAACAAAACCATGAACTCTTCAAATGTTTTAGCAAAACTGAACACTCAACCAACTCACAGAACCTGAAAGATCAAAACGAAAATACTATTTTAGTTCAAAATGTTAAATTTAAATTGACTTTATGAACAAAACCATGAAAACTCAAAATGTTTCAGCAATGCTGATAACTCAACCACATGACAGGGCTGGAAAACTCAACCACTGCAGTTTGAGACAACTTTAACTTATCGGCAACTATATCACCTGGGCTCAGATTTTCGAAGCTCTCTTAGGGGCGGTGGGGTAGCCTAGTGGTTAAAGCGTTGGCTCGTCACGCCGAAGACCCAGGTTCGATTCCCCACATGGGCACAATGTGTGAAGCCCATTTCTGGTGTCCTCCACCGTGATATTGCTGGAATATTGCTAAAAGCGGCGTAAAACTAAACTCAGTCAGTAAGTCCAAGCTCTCTTAGCACTAAGATAGTCGTAAGTTATTGTTAATGTATGGCACTTATGACTATCTTAGCGCTTCGAAAATCTAGGCACTGGGTTCTTAATAAACTTCTTATGTCTACTGCCCCCTATAAATGTCCTATCTGGGCGTGCTACTGACCTGCCACTGGCCATCAACCTCCTGCAGTTTGAGGTGGACATAGTAGGTGCTTACAACCAGCACCATGGCGTCAAACGGAGAATGCTGAAACAGAACAGGTCACGTAGAACAAAACAGCCACTGAGTAAGTAACATACTTGTATTGGTTTGTTGTTTAATGCCACATTCAGCAATATTCCAGCTATATGGCGGCGATCTGTAAATAATCCAGTCTGGACCAAACAATCCAGTGATCAACATCATGAGCATCGATGTACACAATTTGGATACGATGACATGTGTCAACCAAGTCAGTGAGCCTGACCACCCAAACCCAATTTTGTACATGATATGGAGGGGGGTCACTTATTTTGTACACATAAATCTTGGGGGCGGGGGGCTCATTCATATTATACATACTTCTCCCAAAAATCATCATCACACCCCACCCCCCTAGCCATAAATTATGAACGGTCCCTTAGTAGTGTTGATTAAGGCCAACAACAGAACAGTCAGATCAACTGAGTTCGAAGTGTTGACTAAGGCCAACAACAGAACAGCCAGATCAACTGAGAACGTAATGCTGATTAAGGTCAACAACAGAACAGTCACATCAACAGAGCTGGTAATGTTGATTTACGGAGAACATGCCATACTTACATCACAGTTGGAGCAGATAAGACCGTTCTTGTGAACAGAAATGTTGAGGGATTTATCAAAGAATTTGTTGTCTGCATTTCCACCAAGCCCCAGCCATGCCAGCTGAAAGATATTGAATTGGAGGGATATATCAATCGTATGTATATAGCACAACTTTACATGCTGGTTGTCACAATAAAATACAGGTTTTTAAATGAAAGCGTTGCTTCAAAAGTTAGTGGATCCTGATGGCAGTCTGGCAATGTATTTGTTCCATTACAGCTTTGAACGGTATTTCAGACCTATGATGATGTCTCATATTTTGTGGGTGGGAGGTGAGGTGAGATGAAATTGGGTTTAACGTCATGCTTGAGAATATTTCGCTCATATGACGACGTGCATGTGTGTGTATGTGTATGTGCGGCTGCTTGTACTAGCCCAGACTGAAGCTGGGTTTATAGTGCTAGCCCACTGAGATACCATGCCGCAGGAAGCATGAATACCCCACTCAGACACATTATACTGACTCCGAGCCAACCAGTCCTTGTTGTACCAATTAATGCTGACCGCCAGGCAGGGACCAACAAGTACCATATTTTAACATCTTTTGGTATGACGCGGCCGGGTTCGAACCAGGTTCGAACTGGGATCGAACCCGCAACCTTCCGCTGTCCGGGCGGACGCTCTAACCACTACACCACGGAGTTTGTGGGTGGGAAGCCCAAAATGATGCTGGTCTGAAAAGCTTACCACTTTAGTGATGATGATGAGCTTGGCCAGGAGGCTGACAAAATGGCTGAGTGAGTAAGGTTTTAAACATCTTCTACAATAATCCAGCAATATTCTGGCTTGGGACACCAAAAATGGGCTTCACATATTCTACCCATGAGGGGAAATAACCCAGCCTTCAGCATGATGAACAAAAGCTTTAACCCTACACTAACCAACCGCCCCTGACAAGCTGGGAAACATTTTCTGGATAAATCGTGAATTCACAGAGGCTGTACTTCAGTGTGTAGCAGCATGGCTGTGTCACATACCTGACTCTCATCGGCAGGAGATTCGTCAGTCAGGTCAATCAGGAATACAGACTGCTGGATTTTCTCTAGGTTCTCGTAGTTCTTTGGATTCTTGGCAATGAGGCGGCTCCTCATCTGACAATAATACAGTGTTTGAGTGAGCGGTTATGTGAGTAGCTGAGTGAGTGGTTCAATGCATGAACATCAATCACTAACTGGGAGCCATGCATACAAAAGTTCAAGAATATCTGTAAAATGGTTTCAATAAATTATTGCTGCCTCATTTGAAGCTGCAATTCTAAAATAAGATCTGCACCAAAGTAACTTATGCTATTCTTCAGCTCATGACCAAGAAGTATTTGCAGTTAAGCATTGTGATAATAGATTTGATGGACGAAATGATCTAATATGGGTTAATGCTGTGTTGAAAGATGATTGTACTTTGAGTGAGTGAGTTTAGTTTTACGCCGAACTCAGCAATATTCCAGCTATATGCTGGCGGTCTGTATTTAATTGAGTCTGGACCAGACAATCCAGTGATCAACAGATTGTACTTTGATGGTGAGGTTTGTGTGTTTGTTTGTTTTTCGTTTGTTCGTATTTGTTTAATCCACACTCAGCAATATTCCAGCTATATGGCGGAGGTCTGTAAGTAGTCAAGTCTGGACCATACAATCCAGTGATTGACATCATGAGCATCGATCTACGCAAGTGGGATATGATGACATGCATCAACCAACACAGTGGGCCACCTGATCCCATCAGTCAACTCTTTTAACAAGCATTGGTTGCTGGAGACATGAATACCCTTCTCAGACACAGTATTCTGACTCTGAGCTGACCAGTCCTTGTTTGTTCACCTTAATGTCAAGCACAAGGCAGGGTAACAACAAATACCATCTGTTACTGCTTTTTGGTAGGAGCCAGAGTCAACTGAACCACCATCTCCTCAGACAGACGCTGTATCCACTAAACTATTCAGGGGGGACACCAGAAAGGTCAAGAAAGTGAGGCATAATAAACTGGACCATCAAGGGTGTTGACAACAGAATACCTTAGCCCATTCCGTGCGGTCATCTGTGGTGAGGTTCCCAATGGCCGGCCCTGGAGGCATCTTGTCACATTTCTCTTGGATGGCCTTCAGATGATGAAGAAACTCTGGCTGTGTCTTGACCTCGCCATCCGCATCGAGACATTCCAGGTTGAAGTAGTGACCTCGGCATGTCACAGTGACATTGGAGGGGGCTGGCCCTTCAGTCTCTGCAAATGTTGAAACAAATTACGACCCTTTTGTACAACACAGCTCCGTGATGAGGGTTTGGGTTGGATTGGTTGATTTGTTAAATAACTTGGAAACAACTGTGCCAAGAATCAACATAACATTTTAGTGTATCTTCTTGTAATTAGTGACCCCATCATCCCCCCACCCATGCCAAATTATGGACGGTCCCTTAACACATTATTACCGTAGTACTACAAATGTTTCATAATTAAATTGTTGTAATAAAGTAATGTCATGAAAAATAAATGTTCACCTGTTTGAAAGTAAAACAGAATTTTATCCATGGTCAGTCCCGGTATTTTACATGTATTGTACACGCGATGAAACTGGGACATACAGAGTGGTCTCCCCTTGGCATCCTTCTGTGGACGTAATTTCTCTCTGAAAATCAAACAAATTATGCAGTAAAATCCATAGTATACTTTCTACCATGTGAAATGTGTAAAGTCAAATCGCGAGGAACAGTGGTATCACCCAAAAATACCAACATTGAGATGAAAATTGGTGTATGTTTTTCTGATTAAATAAACACAAAAATATATCAATTTCTTCAAACTGTGTGAGTTGAACGAGCAACAAAACTGTACAAAACAAGGCTGTTCTACTGTATATAATCTCATAATTATGTTGGCACTTGCGTGTCATTTCAAATAATGTATATGAAACATTCAAAGGACAAGGCAGTTACTCTGCCCTATTCACGACTATGAGCAGTATGAAAAAGAGCGAAAAAGCAAATGAGAGAGAAAGCAAATGTTGTTTAACCCAACAATCAGTAATTAACTTCCATTTTGAATATGTGGAGTGCAGCGTTAAACAATAAACAAAACATCCACAGGACCTTGGCCTAGATTTTCGTAGCTCTCTTAACGCTAAGATAGTCGTAAGTGCCATACCTTAACATTAACTTACGACTATCTTAGCCCTCCGAGATCTTCGAAAATCTAGGCCCTGAATTCTAGGGTGACTCCAGCATGAACTATTCTCATAATGTCCAGTGCAGTACAAACACAAACTCACTCTCTGAGGACCTGCCAGAACTTGACCATGTAATACAGGAGCAGGGCTGTCCGCTCCAGCTGAGTTCCGTCCCGTGCTGGCCAGATGTCCCGCATGTATGGCCCGGGGCCTGCCATGTTGACCAGCAGAGCAGACGGCATCCGCCATTCCAGATACGCATGATCCTCCCACCACTTCAGGGTTGGTATGACAAGCTGGAATACAACAGGTTCAGGGTTCAGGGTTGGTGACAACAGGTTCAGGGTTGGCATGACAACAGGGTCAGGGTTGGTATGACAACAGGTTCAGTTTCAGGGTTGGCATGACAACAGGTTCAGGGTTATGTATGACATTCAGGGTTGACAACAGGTTCAGTTCATGACAACAGGTTCAGGGTTGGTTGGTATGACAACAGATTCAAGGTTGGCATGACAACAGACTCAGTTTTGGTATGACAACAGGTTCAGTGTTGGTATGACAACAGATTCAAGGTTGGCATGACAACAGGTTCAGGGTTGGTATGACAACAGGTTCAGGGTTGGTATGACAACAGGTTCAGGGTTGGTATGACAACAGATTCAAGGTTGGCATGACAACAAGTTCAAGGTTGATTTGACAACAAATTCAAGTGCGGAATGACAACAGATTCTGGGTTGGCATGGTAACATGTTCTGGGATGGTTTGACAACAAACTTTGGGTCAGGGTTTCTTGGGTACAAAATAAGGATGGCATGACAATACATACAGCTTTGGCATGACAACCCATTCATTGTTGGCATGACAACAGACTATTCTACTCCAGAAACCCTATGTGTGATGTTGTATGCTCTCATATAGCAACAAAATATACAAACCCAGTTCTTCTTATACTTTGCTTTCTCAGAGAGTTTCAGATGCAGCTCTTTGCCCAGACCTGCTTGAAACTCTCTCACGATTCTCTCGGTCTCTCCATATTCTTCATCTGTCACAAATGGCTTCGCTGAAAGAAAAACATATTTTTTTAATAAATTGTTCCCTAAAAACAAGTCTGCATACATTAAACAATAATAATCAAATTGTGTGTACTGACATCGTGCTCGCCTCTGTACACTTGGTATCCTCTCAAAGCATGTATATTATTACAATTATAGATGAATGTATCAGTTTGCACTTGATTTTCAATCTCAACTCCCTGGGGAGTATACAACTCAACCCAAAATGCATCATCACCAGAGCAACAGGGAATGTGAATTTTAAAAATACAAAGACTTCCTCATTCCATGTAAGAGTAGGTATTTTGATTGCTGCTGTTTAAGATACGGCTTCCCACAAAGGAATGTAACTGTGATAAATATTCTAAAAACCTGATATAAAGCTTGTTGCAACAACTTTCTTGCTCTTTAACACCCGTCAACTCCATTAAACTGCCACTGTCAATATCATCCTATTTCGACCGCCTGTAGTGGTTAGAGCGTCCGCCCGGAGAGCGGAAGGTCGCGGGTTCGATCCCCGACCCGTCATACCAAAAGACGTTAAAATATGGTACTTGTTGGTCCCTGCCTGGCGCTCGGCATTAATGGGTACAACAAGGACTGGTCGGCTCGGAGTCAGTATAATGTGTCTGAGTGGGATATTCGTGCTTCCTGCGGCATGGTATCTCAGTGGGCTAGCACTTTAAAACCAGCTTCAGTCTGGGCTAGTACAAACAGCCGCACATACACATACACACGCATGCACGTCGTCATATGAGCGAAATATTCTCAAGTACGACGTAAAACCCAATTTCACCTCACCTCATCCTATTTCATTAATTCCAGCATTGTTAATAACGGCTCATGCCTCTAAATATTTAATTTAAGCAGTGGTAATAAATGACAGCTAACATGCCTAATGATAGTCACATCTGTTTCAAACAATTAAACACTGTCATTATTTACCCCAGGAACTAACACACCATGTTAATATCAAATATTTTTAAGTATATCTAAAACACGATTACACGTCCTGAAAGAAAATGTAAAACCAATGTCGTGGTTTTACATTTTAAACAAAATGTTGAGGAGCACTGTTTTCACTAATCAGTGAACCATCTAAAACTAGACAGATTTATTTGCATTTATACCAGAAATTTTAAATAACATTGGATTTGTTTTTTGTTGTTTAATGCCGCACTCAGCAATATTCCAGCTATATATAGTGGCAAAATAACATTGCAATATGTAAAAGTGAAACAATACAATAATATGCATTAAAACAAATTCATTAACAGCACATGATAGAAGACCACTGAAGTCATGCCATGTAAGACTGAACACCTTTCACCACCTGTCATGGCGGCTCACTGGGACCACAGCAGGTAGAATCTTAGTCTCTGAATATATATAAGCAGTTCCTTTTTTATATGGAATTTTCAAGAAACTAGGGGCAGGGGTTACATTAAGAAGTGATGGGCATTTAGAAACAAGAAAGACTGACTGACTGACTGAGTTTGGTTTTACGCCGCTTTTAACAATATTCCTGCAACATCACGGCGGGGAACACCAGAAATGGGCTTCACACATTGTACCCATGTGGGGATTCGAACCCGGGTCTTCGGCGTGACGAGCCAACGCTTTAACCACTAGGCTACCCCACTGCCCCTAGAAACAAGAAAGAAATTACTTTCCTAAGTCAAATTATTTTCAGGGTCAGTTGGGTAGCCTAGTGGTTAAAGTATTTGCTTGTCATGCTGAACGCCCATTCATGATGTCCCCTGCAGTGATATTGCAGAAATAGCTACAAGCCACTCACTCACTCACTCACTAACTCAAATTCTTTTCTCTTTTGGTTCATGCCATATAAATCACAATTCATAAACTGCCACTACAATAAAAACCAAAAACTCCTCCCTACAGACTCCCTTCTCATTCATGGGAAACAAGAATATTGTTTTCAAAAGATCCTTAATTACAGGTGAAATTCAAATTCAATACAGATAACGTTGTCCGAACATTTCATTTCAATGTTGTAATTATACATTCTTAATTAAATAAGGGCGGTGGGGTAGCCTAATGGTTAAAGCGTTGGCTCGTCACGCTGAAGACCGGGGTTCGATTCCCCACATGGGTACAATGTGTGAAGCCCATTTCTGGTGTCCCCCGCCGTGATATTGCTGGAATATTGCTAAAAGCGGCGTAAAAGAGTACTCACTCACTCACTCTTAATTAAATATGACACTGATACTGGTTGTAACTCTTAACGTTTTGACACAAGACAATGGGAGCCTGTTACCTGGTTACCATGGCAATGGCTCACGTCAATCACCATATTGTCTACACATTAGCCCAAGGTATTTTCTACATACATTGTATTAAAATACATCAATGATATTAACGACAGGTCATATTTCTTTCAACAACTGTTCACAACTCAGAATTAATACACCTGTGAAAACAACATCTGCCACCATTAGTCCAACATGTCTGATGTGTTATTGACATAAGTACCTCTAATACAAATCCTACTAAAGGTCAAGGTCAGTTCTTTCACACTGAGCAACAAAGGTGGTATATATTACGTCAATGAATACACTGGCAATTCATTATTTACTGTAATAAGAACATGCACAATAAATCATTTGTTCATCAAAAGTCAAAATCAAATGGGGAGCTGAAGTACAAAGGATTTATCCAACCAGGAGTCCCCAGCAAGTAAATTGTGAAAAATGTTTTTAATTTGGTGAAAATTTGGATTTTTATAAGATATTCCTAAATTTAGAGGTCTTTCAACATTGAGTATTAATATTACATTCAAAAATAAAAAACAAGCATCATAGGCTGTATTTGTTCCGACATCAGTGAAATACAAGTTGGCCTGAACAAGCCATCATAACTGTATGGACATAACTTAGGAATATCTGAGTTCCAGCTGGGATATTTAAGCCAGACTTAGGGCTGAAAACTGGCCTCTGAGAAGATCCAAATAAATATCAGTGGGTTTTGTTTGCAATGGGAACAAAGATTCAGTTTAGGATAAAACACCCTTCTTATTTAACACCACACACTGGCAGTATTCCAGCTATATGGTGACGGGTTGAAAATCTGGATTTTGACCAGAAAATTTGTCAGTGTGCAAAATAGTTTCCAAATTTTGCTAGTCGGTCGGTCTAGCTATGCCTGAAAGTTACTTACCTACAAAATAATTCACTAGTCCGAAATTTGAATATAGACACAGGTTTCATCATTAAGCTGCTAATATGATGAACATTTCTGATAATCTTGCATTATTTAAAAGTGTGTTATAACTTAACAAGTCTGAGACTGATATATTTACAAAATGACCCCTTGAAAATTCACTATCCAGTCGGGCCAGTGACTGTGGAGATTTAGTGGCCCGATTGGATTTTTACTAGCCACAGGCTAGCAGGCCAGTGGCTATTTCGCACACTGTTGTGTATAGTACCTTTAGATGTCTTCATGTATTAATGTATCTAGGTACAATGCCGCCGTGATGTTGCTGGAATATTGCTAAAAGTGGCGTAAAACCAAAACTCAGTCAGTCAGTCAGGTACAATGCTAGCTTTATAATTTACAGCTGCAGTAAGGTTTAAAATTTCATACCCTATTGATGCAAATAACTGATAAAAGTCATACATTAAGTCCCCCACTAAAATGATGCTCAGGATGTCAGTCACTGGATTGTATGGTCCATATTAGATGATCAAAAGATGGACTGACAAACAGGAATATTGCTGATTGCCTTGTTAAAAAAACATTAACTGTTTGTTTTGTTGGCCCAGCTATATGGCAGTGATCTGTAAATGCTCCAGTCTGGACCAGATAATCCAGTGATCGACATCATGAACATCGATTTATGCAATTGGGATACTATAAGTTGTTCACTTGTCATGAGGGGGCATGGGTTGATGCCCGAAGGGCGAGGGGAACACAAACGAATATCGAGGGTACATCAACCCATGGGCCCCGAGGGACCAGTGAACAACGTATCTTACCGAACACCTTAATGTTAATTTTGAATTGTTTGAAGCACAGGTACAAATCTTTTGTAGCCATCGCTAGATTTTGCTGACAAGAAAAACAGATTTAGAGTTATGTCCCTTCCAACAATTTGCATTCGCAAAACATCAGTTATTTCCGTACATCATACGTGATTCAATGTTATTCGAGATAAAGAATTACCTCCACGAAGTGCGAGGTAAGATAAAATGACATGTTTCACGGGTCCAAACAAACATTAAGTCAGGTGATCACTAATAATCAGGTCATACTCTGTAACCACACAATACTCTGTAACCACACAATACTCTGTAACCACCCAATACGCTATAAAGGAACTAAGAACTTCACAACCAGCACAATATTCTCCACCAGCAACACAGTTAAGGCGTGGCCACTCACCTACACCAGGTGTAGTGTTGTCATGTGGATAACTCAGTCATGTGGGTCACAGTGATATTCAATATGTGGCCCAAGTACCTCGGTGGCTATGTGCAAGGGTGGCTTGTTTGATTATATGCACATTAGACATGTCCCTATCAGCAGTCAGACAACCTGTACTCAATACTGTGACACAATTTGTGTTGATTGAAGCTAGTGGCTGAGGGCAGAGACCTCCCTGATTCAAGGTCCTTGTCTAGGGTATGATTGAGGGCAGAGACCTCCCTGATTCAAGGTCCTTGTCTAGGGTATGACTGAGGGCAGAGACCTCCCTGATTCAAGGTCTTTATCTACGGTATGACTGAGGGCAAAGACCTCCCTGATTCAAGGCATTTGTCTACGGTATGACTGAGGGCAGAGACCTCCCTGATTCAAGGTCCTTGTCTAAGGTATGACTCAGGGCAAACACCTCCTTCAAGGTCCTTGTCTAGGGTATGACTGAGGGCAGAGACCTCCCTGATTCAAGGTCCTTGTCTAAGGTATGACTGAGGGCAGACACCTCCCTTATTCAAGGCCCTTGTCTAAGGTATGACTGAGGGCAGAGACCTCCCTCATTCAAGGTCCTTGTCTAGGGTATGACTGAGGGCAGAGACCTCCCTCATTCAAGGTCCTTGTCTAGGGCATGACTGAGAGCAGAGACCTCCCTCATTCAAGGACCTTGTCTAGGGCATGACTGAGGGCAGAGACCTCCCTCATTCAAGGTCCTTGTCTAGGGCATGACTGAGGGCAGAGACCTCCCTCATTCAAGGACCTTGTCTAGGGCATGACTGAGGGCAGAGACCTCCCTGATTCAAGGTCCTTGTCTAGGGCATGACAGAGGGCAGAGACCTCCCTCATTCAAGGTCCTTGTCTAGGGTATGGCTGAGGGGAAGAGACCTCCCTGATTCAAGGTCCTTGTCTAGGGTATGACAGAGGGCAGAGACCTCCCTCATTCAAGGTCCTTGTCTTGGGTATGACTGAGAGGGTAGCCTACTTGATTCAAACAACATCTAGAGTACTCACTTGATTCCAGGTACTTGTCAAGGGTCTGCTTCAGAGGGGGGATGGGGAGAGAAGGAAGCTCCTCCGTGTACTGAAACGTCTTCTCAGTGTCCGACAACATCAACATGTCAGCCATGACTGAAAGCAAAATTACTGTATAGATAAGTGCACCTACACACTTGAGTGAGTGAGTTTGGTTTTACTCTTCTTTTAGCAATATTCCAGCAACATCACAGCAGGGGAGACCAGAAATGGGCTTCACACATTGTACCCATGTGGGGAAACGAACCCGGGTCTTCAGCATGACGAGCCAATGCTTTAACCACTAGGCTACCCCACCGCCCCAAACACTTGAGACCTGGGAGTCTAATCAGTGATCCATTAAAAGCAGTCCACCACCTTATCTACATGACCAATTACCTGTGTCTGACGCAGAATCTTACTCTCTTTATGATGTCACCATCTATCTCCTTAGATTGCTCTTAGGAATATTTTGAATCTATCAAAATTTCAATTTATACACTTTTACGATAAAACCACGTGAGTAAGCAAGTCAAGTTTAACACAGGATTTATCAACATTCCAGTTATCTCATAGCATGCGGCATAAGGAAAACCCTAGGTGATGTTTACCACAATAGTGGTGGTTCGATTAATTGAAAATGAATATAATCGAAGATTGGTCGCAGCGACTGAACGACCAAGCAATCGAACATGTTTTCTCACAATCGAACGCAACCAATCTTGGAACACTTGTTTGCATCAACAATATTTTTCACATGGTTGTTTTTGTCTGTGTCATTAAATTTACATTTCATAAGCACGACAAGCTCGTTCCAAGTCATGATTGAGTTTATCTCAAAGAATCCAGGAAATCTGTGTTCCTATCATACTAATCATACTTTAAATATGCGAAATTTGCAAATGGATTTTGTGCAATTTGCAAGAAAAAAAATTACTTCATGTTTTTCCTTTATTTTTTGGTGTGCATTAACAAAGATAACAGGAAGATTTGATAAATGACGCTAACCTATTTTTTTCGATGACTGATCAGTTGTAATGGATTGGGCCAATCATCAATTATGAGATTTTAACCAATTCGCAACACTATACCACAAGGAAAGAGTATGACACACTTAGAAACATAGTTGGGGTGAAAACAACCTGAATATTATAATCATGACAGCGACAATGCACTAGTAAAATCAAAGAACACACAAATGTTAACCCTAACATTTCATCCCACACCAAATATTTCCATATCACTTCAAAATGTCCTCTCACAGCTGAACACACAGTCGTACTGGGACACTGATGGCATGATGCACACCTTTCCACAGGAGAGTACTAGACCTGGGGGATGCTGGTGACACATCAGGCCCCGATTTCTCGAAACAAACTTAAGTTTTTACTCAAATTTCAAACTGAGTTTGACAATTTGAAACAGCTTAATTTTTAACTCAACTGCATTTTTAAACAAAAAGCCCAAACAACTTAAGTAATCTATCCACCAAACTCAAATTGTCTACTATGTTTGAGTTTAATATTGATTTCAGTTTATTCTGGAAAATGCATTTTCCTGCGTTTTCTCAAATTTGAGTAAAAACTCAGACTTAAGTTTGTTTCGAGAAATCGGGGCCAGTGGTCTGAAGCTTTGCTGTATCACCTAACATCCTGACATAAGGCTAATATCACTGATGTCAAAGAGATAAATCATTCTTGGAGTGGGTTTACATTGTGGGCCAACAAGCACTTGTACTTTGATCACCACTGAAGAAGTCAGTCAGTCACAGTCAGCTGGTGCAGAAAAAATACCCAGTTGACTAGTAAACATATTGTCTGCCCGCCGCCGTCCGTCCGTCCGTCTGTCTGTCAACAGACATGTTCATGCGGCAATCAGCAATGTTCCAGCTATATGACTAAGGTCTGTAATTAATTGAATCTGGACCAGTCAATCCAGTGATTGACATCATGAGCATCAAACTACCCAGTAGTGAGTATGGTTTTACGCCATTTTTAGCAACCAGCAATAGCAGGGGACAACACCAGAAATGGGCTTCACAGCCACAGCCACTGGTCCATTATTTGAGACAAGTGGAAATCGATGGGGGCTAGTTATTTTATCCCAAATCTAGTTGTTTGACATAAATCATTAAAATAAGCTGAAGACAAGTTTTATGGAACCAGTATCTTAGTATAGCATACAACATTGTATAAAAAACATTTTACACGTCTGCTGCCATAAAATTAAAGATGAATCCAGCAACTAGTGATACCATTACCAGTGTTCTGACAATTGAAGGGGAGTAGACTGCCAGGTCCTTGAGATTTGCTTCAGTAGTATTCGAATCTAGAGCCCCCCCTCTTTAACTTTTAGCATAAGGGCCATGACAGAATAACTATTCTTTATTCATTAAGCCTATTGATGATTTAGACATTCAGGTCCACAATAGACATACAGGTTTCAACATCCATGGCATGGAATATAAATAGAGAAAGTTTATCACAGACTAAGCATGGCATGACGACAACAATATGTTAAACTTACATGAGCTGATAGACACAGTAATGTTTAGGAATGTACATATATCTATAACTGTAATATGTTTAACAAATGAACAGAAAAATTGTATTATTTCCTATGAGACAAAATCGTTGATCTCTTGAACATGATTTCATGTATTGGCTAGCAATGGCAGCAACTCTTCAGTGAGCAGGCGTTAGATTCCACTTGCTAAATCAAACTTCACACCTTACAAATTATGGTTGCCATAGAAACCAAATTCTACATTTGACCTGATTTATTTTGAAACTGACGTCTCAAACTTGGGGACTGTCAGTCTTTGACTTACACAATACTTATGCGCATCACATCCCACATCATATTCTAACTGACATAAATATAAATACCTGCATTGACACCGATTAATCAATTCTGATTAATTCTGTTCTGATTTTTCTTTAATTCACATTTTTAGTTTAACTTTATGCCTTCATTCTGTCACCAAAAAGATCCTGATGAATTACCTATAAAATATTACCATGATGACATGATGTTTACAAGCGTGATTAGAAATATAATTTTGCCTATTCATAAAATACTTGTTTTTACTGTCTGTCAGCTAAATCTGCCTGTGAGTCATTCCTGATGATACCTGCTGTCCCAATATAAAATGGATCATAAGTTAGAAAATATTCCTGCCCCAGTGCCAAGCTTGACAGATACAGGGATTTACTGTATGCACAATGCTGCATTCTAAATGCATATAGATGAATGGCATAAATAATTTACATTGCAAGACCTGGGGATGGAAATTAGTTTGGCTGTTTGAATCAATTAGCCTAATCAAAATTGTAGATTATATGCTATGAGCTCACACATACACAGCTGGAATTTTTAATGAAATAAGAAATATACCCAAACATTGACATGACTGGAATACCAGTCAATTGTGAAAAGTAAATTATAGAAATGTTTGTACCTTGTCAGCACATAATGGCTTTCATTCTGAAATCTGGAAACTGAGCCTATAATCATGATAAAAAATTGGTTCTACTGCACACACTTTTGTTGACATTTCTACATATGGATATAAATGGTTTCTCAAAAATATTTTTTATTGAATTAAAAAATCCACAAAGTTGTTCAATATTTCATTAGACTATCATTAGTTGGTTTGACATTATTTTTCAACTCGCTGTGCGAATGCGCAGAGCGTGTGAAAAATATCCACTGGCACGTTTCCGGTTTGGTCGTATGCTTATCTATAGTGTAAATGCACTCTAAATAAAAGCTGTTATGAAATGATTTACGTTGTGACAACTGTTCATAGCTGAGTACATACTTCCATTTGCCTCTGTTTTTCAATAATTGATGTCCTATTTTGGTTGCAATTCCATCAGAGATGTGTTTGTTTAGTTGTGAGAATGGGATATGCGGGAAGGACGGTGGTGGTGAGATGTCTTTATACAACAGTTTGTTGACATAAACGAAGCTAATTATGTAACTAATCCCGGCCTCTGTTTCATAAATCAATTGGGATCAGTTATATGTGACATATAACTATATATTTGTTTTGATTTTTGTTTTCTTTGGAGTGTTTACACTATCGATAAACATACGACCAAACCGGAAACATGCCAGTGGATATTTTTCGCACACTCTGCACATCCGCACAGCAAGTTGAAAAGTAATGTGAAACCAACGAATACCCTGACACCGAACCAAATTGTACCCATTTCTCAAAAATATTGTTGGTTCTAATTTGACTTTTTGTTTCTTAATAACAGGGTTAAACTAAAGAACACTGCACTAATCACTTAATACATGGATAGGCAATATTTTTTAAAAGCTCTTCAAATCATACAACATTCTGGTTTCATACTGCTTCCTAGGCGGAAAGACTTCCGCCCGTATCCCCCTTTAAATTTCATTCTAGTCAAATCGTATCACCTGAATTATACTTCCTCATCTGATAAGCATGAGTTTTAACATGTTAGTTTTAAACATTTAACATGTTAATTGTATATGAACAAACTGAAAGACATATCTTACCATTGCATTTACCAGGCGTATAGTGTTGAAACATTGGCGGCATCACCATTTACAAAACGCTTTGAAATTCATTTCATTTCAATTTACACTGCACACCAACGGCGGATTAAACACGGCAATATTAAATGAGCAGTTTTATATAACGCACCATTACCTCAGCTGATATAAACCACATATGGCGATGATAAATACACGCATATTATATTATACCGGCATGATAATTCTCGATTGACGTGACAATGGTATATGCATGAAGATATTGACATGTCGATTGTCAGACGAATACATGTGCAACTTTACCTGTTTGTTTCGTGCTGCAAGGAGAAGCTCTAAGTCACAAGAATCTAAGCAGTGTTATCGGCGAGGTGTCTGCAATCTCGTTCAAGGACTGTGTAGACTCTTCACCTGATGCTCACTCAGATAACACATTAATAAACCAGCATGTTTTGTGTTGACAGTCGACAGCTGCGGGTCAAAGTCTACTTCCTCTTTCAGGGGAGGTAACTCTAAACATGCACAGGCTTTGTACGAAACCTATAAAGACGGCCTGTTTCAACATGAGTTCGAACCAGTCTTGCATATGGTACATTTTAACAACAGCTTACCTGGAAATCTTTTGTCCATTGAAATATTTGTAACTCAGCTGGGACCTCAGCTGTGCCACTGGTTTAGGTCGTCACATATTAGAAATTCAGTCGACCATACATGAAAATTAAACCACCCCTCACCCCCGGCCTGAGTTCATCCATTCGTGTTATCCCATGTGTAATACAACAATGGTTTGCAAATTGTCAGTGATGATATAACCACATCATTAACGCATAGCGAGAATGAAAATGAGAGAGCGTGCACTGTGGAAATGAGAAGAAATTGACATCAGTGTTATTACCGACTTAGAGCCGTCGCCTAATGCGAACGTTTGGGTCCAATGGTTGTTTGTTGTTTAACGCCGCACTCAGCAGTATTCAGGTATATGGCCGCGGTCTGTAGATACTCCACTCTGGACCAGACAATCCAGTGACCAAGAGCATGAGCATCGATCTACTCAAGTTGGATACGATGACATGTGTCAATCAAGTCAGCGAGTCTGACCGCCCAAACCCGTTAGGGACCGTTCATAATTTATGAGTGAGTGAGTGGGTGAGTTTGGTTTTACGCCGCTTTTAGCAATATTCCAGCAACATCACGGCGGGGAACACCAGAAGTGGGCTTCACACATTGTACCCATGTGGGGATTCCAACCCGGGTCTTCGGCGTGACGAGCCAACGCTTTAACCACTAGGCTATCCCACCGCCCCCTCAACTTTGACATGTGGCCAATCATTAGCTCAGATCAATAATACTTTAATATTTTAGGATAAGTCCATGCGCCCATTGAACAACTAAATTAAAGCAAGTCTAGATTTTGAACAGCAAAATAATTTTCACTAGAGCTCATTTTTAATTTAAACGGGGTTTAAGAGACTAAGTGTAAGTCTACCCTTAAATATACGCACGTGGGTATTTCTTGGACGTGACATCCTGCTCCATGATATGATCAATATATTCTGAAATAAATCATAAGGTTTGTTGCTATTAAACAAAAATGCATAACAACAATTATTATGTGTCTTTTAATCAGTGTTATTGTCCTGAAGACCTGTATCGTGAAGACAAACAACAGCTTAGCCTGCATATCCTGGTTTCTTTATTTGCTTAGTCAAAGTTCTGCACATGTTGAGTAATCTCATCTTCATAAAATCGAATGGGTGAGTGAGTTTAGTTTTACGCCGCTTTTAGCAATATTACAGCAACATCAGTTCGAGGGACACCAGAAATGGGCTTCCCACATTGTGCCCATGTTCGGAATCGAACCCGGGTCTTCAACGTGAGGAACGAACGCTTTAACCACTAGGCTACCCAACCGCCCACAAATCGAATGGACAACTGTTCTATATAAACAGAATCAGCTGTTGCCTTGGGGTTTATAGAAAGTGAGTGAGTATGGTTCTACGTTGATTTAGCAATATTCCAGCTATATCGAGACAAGGGAACCAGAAGCAGGCTACAGAAAACGTACCTCTGTGGGGAATCGAACCCGGGGCTTCGGATTTAGCAACTTGACTACCCATCCGCCCCATTAAATACATATGCCATAACCAAAGTTAGATGTTGTCGTTATTGTCAGTGAAGATACTTGCAACAATATAAGTACCAAGGTTTTCTTTTTATGAGAGGGGCGGTGGGGTAGCCTAGTGGTTAAAGCGTTCGCTCGTCACGCCGAAGAACCGGGTTCGAATCCCCACATGGGTACAATGTGTGAAGCCCATTTCAGGTGTCCCCCGCCGTGATGTTGCTGAAATATTGCTAAAAGCGGCGTAAAACTAAACTCAGTCAGTCTTTTTATGAGATATTCATCTGAGATCTCTCAATTATAAAGGCTTGGCTTCTTCATGTTTAGAACTCAGCCTGCAAAAGCTTATAACGTGCACTTTGATACACTTGCTACAGCCAATAGACAAACCAAGCAACACTCACTCACAACTGGTGGAACAAGATATTTAAGATTTTAAGATTAGGTGTAGTTGTTGATCTTTGTAAGTTTCATCTGGCGGGCCGCACTCATGCTTACCAACATTTTAGAGTTTAAAGCTTTCGCTCGTCACAAGCAGGAACCGGGTTCGATTTCCCTCAATACATGAACCCATTGTTGTTATCCGGGTTCGATTTCCCACAATACATGAACCCATTGTTGGTGACCAGCACCCGGGTTTGATTCCAAAGGTGGGTACAATGTGTAAAGCCCATTTTTGGTGCCCCCCGACGTGATATTGCTAGAATATTGCTAACAGCGGCCTAAAACCATGCATACTCACTCACTCTTCATTAGCGGTTCGGTGCATGGAGCTGAGAGCAATGTTGCTTGTTCGTGTGTTGTTTACGCCGCGCGTAACAATATTCCAGCTGAATGACGGTGAGAGTAATATTATGCAAATAAGGTTATACAAATGTCGAGTATTCTAGTTCGTGGTTCATAAGTGCCACATATCTGTTTCACGTAAACTTGGTCTATGTTTGTATGGAGATTTGAAACAGGTTATGTGTTTGCTGGCCCAACCATACCTTGTAACTCCGTGCTGACCCAAATTTCTGCCATCCTTGTTGAGACAGTCTCCATTATACCGTTATACAGGTGTGTGGGTCACAACACAATAGCCAGATAAGACCGGTTGTGACTGTCTGGAACCAGTGTTTAACTTAAAGACCCCTTATCCACATCCATACACGGGCGGTGGGATATCCTAGTGGTTAAAGCGTTCGCTCATCACGCGGAAGACACGGGTTCGATTCCCCACCCCACATGGGTACAATGTGTGGAGAGCCCATTTCTAGATTCCCCATCCCACCCCATCCCCATCCCCTCCCCTCATGATTGATAACATGAGCATCGATGTGCGCATTTGGGATAGGATGACATGACATGTGTCTACCAATAAGCGACCCTAACCACCCGATCCCGTTAGTCGCCTCTACGCGGCAGGTATGGGTTACTGAAGATCAATTCTAACTCTGATTTACATGGGGATGTATTACAGAACTCTCTTTGATGGGTGCGTTGACTTCCTGAAAGCTGAAAGTCACCGTCATTAAAGTCAGATCCAGGTTTCCGATTTAAACGTGATTGTTTGCGAATTATCATTTTCGGTATATTTAGAAATATTTCTATACTTTTCGTTGCCAATTTACACTGAAAAAATGCTAGTCATATCAACATGTCAGTTAACATCTGGTTATTTGATTTACTATGTTAAGTATAGCGGATGACGATTCCATTGTTGTTGTTTTCCATGTATGTAAATTGCAATATCCTTATAACTTGAGAGATTTTATAAAAACACTTAAATCTGGCTGGCCCCGGGACAGAATAGTGTTTATCGAGTCATTTAACATGTATTCGCCAACCGGGTCAATTACTTTTTGTAACAATCGACAAATTAAAGAAATCCAATTTGGTATTCGATATGAACACCACGCAGGTACAAAGGCCACGCATCACTTGTCCACTAACAATGTGTCTACTTAATTACTATAGATCATTAAACATCTGTTTTGTAAAGTTACCATTTAATAATGAGTTAATGAATACTGAATTCAGCAATATTCCAGCTGTGTGACAACCGTCTATAAACAACCCAAACCAGTCACTGATATAATGAATAAAATTCCGAGATGGACAGACAGACAGACTGACAGACAGACATTATATTTCAGTAATGTAGGCCATTGGCCCATAATACAACATAGAGCAAATATAAAGAATACATACATGCTGGATATAGGATAAAGATTGGAATACAGGGTCAATTAGTTGTAGTAGTGGGTTTACTTCTTAGTTTGAATACAGTGGAGAGGAATGTAGTTAATGGTTTTAGATAATGTATGTTGTTACAAGTAATTAAACGCACAAAGGTTTCAATTGTTGGAGGGTGGGTCTGGTGGGTTGTGAAACACTTTATTTCTTATTTCAGAATATTTGTCACAGATAAATAGGACATGGAGCTCGTCTTCAACATAGTTTAGGCCAACAGAGTGGCAGTAGAGGCAGAGACGTTGATCATAGGGTGTATTTGTGTGACGACCGGTTTCCACTGCTAATCTAAAGTTGTTACAGCGGAACATAGCCATAACTTTCCTTTGATATGGAAGGAGGTCACAGGACAAGTAGTGTTCAACATAAAGTAAAGATTTAAATTGTGAATAATATTTACATTTAGATGAAGAGTCAAGTGAGGAACGCCAAATTAAAGGAAGCAGTCATAAAATCGCTGCTTGAAGTTGGACATAAATGTTTTAATGCAGCCAATTTCTTGTGAGATCCATACAAACCCAAAACCATACTGAAAAAGGATTTGTCTTATGTGAGATGGCAGGGCACGGAATAGTGATTGAGTGAGTTGAATTTTACGCCGCTTTTAGCAAAATTCCAGCATTACCCACTTTACCCGCCGGGCCAAACTTCCGCCCCGGGACGAGACACACCCTCTCGCCCCCCGTACAGCCCAACACAGGTATATGCTTACACAAATACATACACTTTCCACCTGATGAGGAGATGCAAGAGTGAGTGAGTGAGTTTAGTTTTACGCCGCACTCAGCAATATTCCAGTTATATTGTCTGTAAATAATGGAGTCTGGACCAGATGATCCAGTGATCAGCATCATGAGCGTCGATCTACGCTATTGGGATACGATGACATGTGTCAACCAAGTCAGCGAGCCTGACCACCCGATCCCCTTAGTCGCCTCTTACGACAAGCATGGGTTGCTGAAGATCAATTCTAACCTGGACCTTCACGGGTCCGGAGATGCAAGAAACAATGGTGAAATATGAAAACAATCAAATGTGAATGAATAAAATGTGCACGCAAATGCACAACAACACAGTGTCGCATGCACATGCTGATTTGCACATGTATTAAATTCAAACCAGCGTTCTTTTCCT